ATTGACTGGCAGCGTCAAATGGGACAGGTCATGGAAAAGGGAGCATTAATGACATCTGTCTCCAACTTCCTGCTTTGGACAATGGTATGTGAGAGACTAGGGGTATCAGTTTTTATTTTATCTTACATAGTGTTACTGACACCTTGGTCTAATGACCTTATTTTGCTCTTTCGTCCCTGTTCTCCTCCCCTACCTAAGTCTTGTTTTATGTATCTATATTGCCTCTTCCTTGCCAACTACCCTCTATCTCCTTTCTTTCCCATATTCAGTGAACGGGCATGTTGTCAAGTAGCACAAACTGACTTACCATTTAGATATTCTTCCCCCTTTCCCTCCCAACCGCCGCCCCCGGGGCAGCTGGAATAACATTAAATCAAAAAAGAAAATTATAAACAAACAACATGTAAAACACTATAACTTAAAGACAAAGTAATGAATTAAATGACTTTTTATTGAATTCAAGTGATTTCGAGCATTGTATAATAAATAGTAGTCTTCAAGTCACAAATAATTCCTACATAATTTTTAGATTCTTAAAAGATCCTGACAATATGTATTTGGCAAAAGGTCACATTGGTTCTCTTTTGCACTTCCTATTTTTATGGCTGGATTTCTTACTTGAAAAAAATGTATTGTAAAGGTAAAGTACAGAGCGGCTAGTTCCATAAGTCAGGTGAGTTCAATTCTTTTTGAACAGTGTCACCCTCCCGATCTCTCACTTTTTATAAGGCAAGAGTTACACAACCTGAAGCTTTGTTTAATCAAAGTCCACTGCCTATGTGTTGTTTTATTATTTTTTTGTACTAGGTATTATGTCTGGTGCCAAGGTAAGCATTCTAACAACTGAGCCATTCCCCCCCCTTTTTTTAAGATGGGGGTCTTACTTTTTTAAGATGGGGGGCTAGCCTCCATCCTCCAACCTTCACCTTCCCTTCCCATGAATTTTTTTTTCCTCTACCACTTTGAAACACAGCTCCACTTCTGTTTTTCTGGTGGTTAATTGGAGATAAGAGACTCATTTACTTTCTTACTCAGGTTGGGTTTGAACTGTGATTCTCAAATCTCAACCTCCTGAATAGCTAACATTACAGGTATGAGCCACCAATCCCCTGGTCCATGAATCTTTTGGTTTTTGTAACCAAGAACAAATTTTAAGAGTATGATTATTAGAAAAAAGGGTACAGTCTTTCAAATCATTCCAGAATCTACCTTGAGGAACAAGGACTAGGAAATAAACACAAAAGCATCGCAGCATACAGTGCTCTACTGTGTGTTATGTAAACTTTTCATTTGTCTCATTAAATCCACCTTTTCTCCCATTTAGGCAAAGGTTATAGCAAAAGATGACATTTGTCAGATGAGTGGTTCATAAAATAGGAGCAGCTGTGCTTCTAAATCTCGTTAATGTCACCTTTAAGGCAAGTTATACAAGTCTTTTCTACCCCGGTCATGCTTCCTGGAAGGTTAGCAGCTGATGGTTCCAGTTTTACAAGAAAAACAGTCATGAAAACCCTGTTGTAACTAGACTAGCCCTGTCATTAATGCAAGTATGACTTGTTAATGTATCTGTTTAATAGCTACATTTTCCAATAAAAATTTTTCCATTCAACTTTTTTTGTTCTACAATTGTGTGTGTGTGCACCCACGCGCTCACTTGCATACATGCGTGTTGGTCCTAGGGCTTGAACTCAGGGCCTGGACCCTGTCCCTGAGCTTTTGTCCTCAAAACTAGTGCTCTACCACTTGAGCCATAGCTCCACTTACAGATATTTTTTGTCGTTAAATGGAGTTAATGGTCTTATTTACTTTCCTGCTTGGGCTGGCCTTGAATCTCAGATCTGGGCTCCCTGAGTAGCTAAGATTACAGTCATGAACTTCTGGTGCCCAGCCTTTTGTATAATTTTTGACCTTCTCTTTTTAAGGTACTAGAGATTGAGCCTAGAGCCTTATACATTCTAGGAGTGTACTATCTCTGATGTGTATTCCTACCCCATGTTCTGTCATTTTAAAGCAGTTTGAGATTTATTCATATTATTTTGATCAACTTTGTAATAATCCAAAAGAAAAATTTTAATGGACAGATTTTGATTATACATGTACTGACAGATATATTTGAATGATTTTTACTTACAATAGGTCAAATGGAAATCACATTATGACCTATGTAGAATGGTAATAAAGTTTTAAGACAGTGATGTAAAGCATGTAACTGGTTATTTTATAAATGATGATAGGTATTGAAACATCAGATATTCAACTGGATATATATAAATGAGTGATTATAAAAATTCATGAACTGTATTATATGCCTTAAATTATGTTGTTCATAATTTTCTAAATTAATGACAAATACAGGTATCATCCTCAACTGTACAAAGGGATATATAATTTTTCTAAAACACTTTTGTATGGTACACAGTGAAAAACAACAACCCGCCAGGCACTGATGGCTCACACTTTTAAATCCTAGCTATCTCAGAAGCTGAGATCAAGAGGATCATGGTTCTAACTCAGGCCAGTCCAAAAAGTTAACAAGACTCCTTCATGTATAGCTGGAGGTGTGGCATGGCCTATCATCCTGGCTACATAGGAGGCTGAGATGGAGACAGGTACAGCCCTGGCAGCAAAGTCCAGAAGCTCTATCACAACAGAAACTGGGTGTGGTGGTGTGTGACTGCCATACCAACTATGATAGAATGCCAAAAATAAGTGGATCATTGTCTGGGCCCATTTTCAGCAGCCCATGAAACAGCTAGAAGGGCTCAGTGGCCCAGCAATTGCCTAGCAAGTGGCCCTGAGTTCAAACTCCAGTGCTGCCAAAACAAAATAATAATAGTGATAACATAAAGCATACTGTTACAAGAGTCTAACAATAGTCTGACACTTAGGTTTCATAATAAATAGTTCATTCCCTGTTCTTTGGATAGGAAGTCATACTGTAACACAGAGGTATACAAGTAATGGTAGAAAATGCTGGGGGAAATCCATGAAAACAGTAATCCAGCTCTTCCAGGTCTGGTTTTCGCTCATCATCATCATCCCTTTTGTATCCTTATGTATAATGAAGCGATTGGGGGGCTTGGAATGTGGCTCAGTGGTAGTGATAGCATGCATGAAGCCCTGGGTTCGATTCCTCAGTACCACATAAACAGAAAAAGCCAGAAGTGGCGCTGTGGCTCAAGTGGTAGAGTGCTAGCTAGCCTTGAGCAAAAGAAGTTCAGGAACAGTGCTCAAGCCCTGAGTTCAAGCCCCATGTCTGAAAAAAAAAGTGATTGGACTAGAGTTTATATGGAACATTCTATCTTTATAGGCTCTACATTAAATGCCTTCTGAGTTTCTTATATATGTTTTCTTTCTGTCCAAGTGCTTAAAGATTTGTTTATAGATATTATGGCCAACAATGGGAAATAAAAAGGAAAATAATTAGCTTTTCTCTTTTACTCTCCACTAAAGAGAATACGCTTCTCTGATCTTATGGAATAAGTAAATGATCAAGAAAATAGCTGGAACTACTGCATAGCTCATAGGGCAGTTACTGAGAATTCATGGTCTCCTAAATCTTGTTTGGAAACTGGCACATATAGGCATTCTCTTTACCAGTCATTCTTAACTTGGGAGTCCCTAAATAGAATACAAGGGGTTTAAAAAGCATCTGTATTTTAACCTCTTAATTGAATATTTCCTGTAATCATAGATGTGCACAATAACCAGAGGGTGGTATTGCAGTTTACTCTTTCATCAGTAAAATTCAGTTTAAGTGTACAGTTGTTACAGATAAATATGCCCAAGTGCCATTTATGCTTGCTTTACTACTTTGAAATTGTGGTATGAATTAAACGTGGTACTAGCTCCTGTTAATGCAGAAAGCACACCTGCAATCACACACACATACACACACACACACACACACACACATCTATGTAAAGCTACTGAAACAGAATTCTTGAAAAGTGCCTTTTACAATTAATATCCCTTATCATCCTATAGGTTTCATGAGGTGCTTTTAAAAATAGTGCTGCCCAGAGGCCAGGTCAGATTGCCACAGGGGTATCTGGCACATGAAAAAAAGCCTTGATTGCCCTGAAATGGGCCGCCAGATCTCTCAAGTGCAGCGACAGATGGTTCTTACTGTGAACCTGAATCTGAAAAACTGCAGATTATGTCTCCCTGATTGTATGGAGAGTCGCCCCGCCGGCCATAAGGCGCAATCAGGAACTTCAATTTAGGGGTGCGGATAGGGGGGTGGTGTGCAGGGGAGATAATGTTTTTCAGCAATCCTGGAGGCCAAGGGCAAGCACTTAAGATAGCAGGGACCCATTTCCTTCTCGGGTTTTGTTACCGGCCACACAGACAACAGAACGGCCGACACCCCACTGCTTGCCGCGCTGCCCTCGCCACGCCGCCACGCGCGACCAGGCCCAGCACGAGGAACCTTCGCCACCAAACCCAAGACCCGTCTCTTTCACAGAAACGAGTGCTGGAGACTGGGCCGCGATCCGCGGCTCCGGAGGCGCAGAGAAGCGCGCCTGCCCCCGTGCCCGGCCCGCGCCCCGGGCTGCGGCCCTCGCGACACCAGCGGGGCCCCGAAACTTTCGGCCACCACGTCAAGTTGAGACCTTCGTCCTCCAGGCCCGAGATCCCCGCCTCTCCCGGCGGGCGGCGCTCCGTCTAGGACGGCAGGACCCTATGCATCAAGGCCAAAATCCCCAAATCCTCAAAAATCCCCAACCGTGGGTGTCTCTCTCTCTCTCTCTCTCTCTCTCTCAAGTCCCCAGGTTCGAGAACCAGGCCCAACGACAACGACAACAACAACAACAACAACAACATCAACAACGCACCGAGGCTCCGCCCCCTTCTCTGCAGCCAGGACAACTCAGGCACTCGGCTACCCAGAGCGGCGCCGTTAGGTTACGTAGCGAGGCGTAATTGGTCGTCTCGGCCTGGCGGGCTTTGATTGGCTGTCGGCCGACAGGCCCCGCCCCTCGCCCGCTCCGCCGGCCTCGGTCGCCTGGGTGTCCTCGCGCTGCTCGTCGCGCGCGGCCTGGCGGTTTGCCTCTTCCTCGTCGTCCTCCCGCCGGCGCCCATGGCCACCGCCACGACCGAGGAGCCCTTCCCTTTCCACGGTCTCCTGCCGAAGAAAGAGACCGGAGCCGCCTCGTTCCTCTGCCGTTACCCGGAGTATGACGGGCGGGGAGTGCTCATCGCCGTGCTGGACACGGGGGTCGACCCCGGGGCCCCCGGCATGCAGGTGAGGCCGCCCCGAGGGCCCCGGCGCGGGCTGTGAGGGACCAGGCGGGACCGCCGTCCCCGGCCCGCCAGGCCTCAGCCAGCCCTGAGGGCCGGGCCGGGGCCGGGGTGGGCAGAGTCGGGCGGGAGGGGGTGCGGGGGTGGGGGTCCCCGCCCCGGACAAAAGCGCAGTGCCTGCGGCGGATGGTGGCGGGGGAGGCCGGGCCGCAGGGCTCCCCGTCTTCCCCGGGAGATGTCAAGGCCGGGCATCTCCCCGGGGTCCTTCCCAGCACGCCACCTCCTCTTGGGGGGGTTCTCTCCCAAGTGTCTCCGGCACCCTGAGCCTGGCTTGAGGATTTAAAGACGGAAATGTTCGTTTTTAATCGTGGGGGGGGGGGCAGCAGCAGCTGTAGCAGCAGCAGCAGTAGTAATAGTGGGGAGAAGAAAATAGATGGGAGCCAAAGACATGACAGAGTTGTTCTTGCCGTGGTTCGGGGGATTCGGTTTTGGAAAGAATAGTCCTTTTTTTTTTTAATCTCTCAGCGCCGAGGCCGGCTTTGTAGAAGTTAACTCGGTCCTCTTCCGGAAGTGCCCCCTTCCGATAGATAGTTTTGTGTATTCTATTTTTAAGCGATCGGTGAGTGTATTTGCTTAGAGGTCGTTGAAGCTCGCAGCTTCGTCTTTTACAGAAGAAGTCAAATTTCCTTCATTTCGGACGAACTGTTCAGGCCTTATGAAAAATATTCCTGTATTCGTCCCAAACCTCAAAACACCAAGAGAATCTACTTTTCTATGCAGTTTAAAATGTTTAGTTTTGCCGTAGGCAGTTTAAAAACCTTTAGTCCCAGGGTGCCAAACTGAGAAGTAGGATTTTTTTTGTTTTTTTTTGGGGGGGGGGGGGGGTCCAGTTGTGGGGCCTGAACTCTGGGCCTGGGTGCTGTCCCTCAGCTCTTCAGCTCAAGGCTAGCGCTCTACCACTTGAGCCACAGCACCACTTCCAGCTTTTCTTTTTGCTTATGTGGTGCTGGGGAATCGAACCCAGGGTCTCATGCATTGCAAGGCAAGCGCTCTACCACTGAGCCACCTTCCCAGCCCAGTAGTTTGTTTTTTTTTTTTTTTAACTTAAATGTCCTTATTAACATTCTGTCTTTAAACTTTAACTTTTGTAAACTTCACATTTTACTGAAATGTACCAGCAAGCAAAAAATAAACTTGGTCGGGATCTGTCTCCCAAAGTCTACCTTAGCTTATCCTGCTGGCCATAGGTCACTTTTTTTATCTGTTCACTTTATCTGTTTCCTTGGCCCCCTTTCCCTGCTAAGCCCTGGTACTTAATCATTCTCTTTCTCCTCCCCTCTGGGTTCTTCACTCCTCTCTGATAAGTGAGGTGGCAGTTTTGAGGACAGTAGGTAATACAAAGGGGTGAATGCAGTCATGATATTCAATGTACAAATGTGAAAATGGACCCAGGCAATTTGAGGGTATGAACAGGATTAGAAAGATGGAGAAGACTGATGGAAGAATGATCAAGTTATGTTGTATAGACATGCTGAATCGAAACGCCCATTGTACAACTGCTGAAAGATAACAAAAAAATTAATTTAAAAAAGAAAAACATGAAGTCAATCTGGCCACTACTTACCTATACAAACCCTCCAGGAATCTTGCTTCCTGGTGTGGATTTTCTTTAGGGAAGAATGGCATACTTGTGATGTCTTGCTTGGCAGCATCTGAATTAGAAGAGGAACTGTAATGAGCTGCCTCCTGGTAACTATAATTACTGTGTTAAAAAAACTCCTGAGACTTAGAACAGTGACAGCATCACCTCATTGAGGCTTTAGTGTAGAGTGGTTATGCCTCCCTTTGTGCACTGTGTGTTTACTTTCTGTAGGGCTAAGTGGGTGACGAATAGCTGGGTAAGAGGCTCAATGATTCCTTTGTCAGGATAATGAAGATCAGCAATCAGGAGTTTGGAGAAATTTTGCTCAGTAGTCTGCCTGTCCAATATTTCTGTTACTGTCTGTGAAGTAATCATTTTCACCCCTCACAGTGTTGTTACAAAAATTAATTACATGTGACCTAGAGCACTTAAGTGCTCAAGGAAAGTACTAAATACCATTTTAAAAACAATAAACACTACTAAGGAAGAATTGAATGCTTGTCTTTGATTAACACATAAATGGAAAATGTGTTAGCTATTTACCCGTAATACTATAAATGTTCAAGCTGTAAAATATATTTGAAATCAAATGGAAACTTTAATTGAGATATTGACCAAATAGGGGTAGTTGAAAGAAATTCATTAAGATGGCTTTCAAACATGAATAGTAATTTGTGTATACCTCCCTAAGATAAAGTGGGTAAAAATTAAAAAAGGAAGGAAGACTAAGACAGGAAGAAGAGGTGGAATCCATCATTTGGCAAGCAAGTCTTAAATCAAGACCTGGAGACACAGTACAAACTTGGAAGAAGTATGGTTGTCTCCTTCTTTGGTGACTTCCTTGGCCAAGTTCTCTTTTGTGATAGCTGGCTTCTGGGTATGTCAAGAAGTAGGTGATAGCACTAGATAAGTAGTTATTAAATAGTAGTAGTGATTAAATAAATGAGTAACAAATGAGTAGTGATTAAATGTTTTCAGCACAAACTTGAAGATTCTTCCAGAGGCCTAACGTTTCAGTTGTTCAGTGTGAAGCTTTGTGTTGTGGGGACTGTTACAGAGATGAGAGAAGGGCTGAAGGGGGAGGCCTGACCAGTTGGATTTCACAGACAAGATGGAACGTGGACTAGACCAGACTAATCTTACTTCTCTTTGATCCTTGCTTCACATTGTCACACTTGTATTACAAACTCCTGTTACAAAGAAACCTTGTATTACAATTTTGATCAAAACCATTTTGAAATCCCAATTGCTTTTGATTAAATATTTATAAAAAATTGCGTCTTGCTATATTCTAAGACCCCTTAGCATCCAACTCGAGTCTCATGTGGCTAGAAGTTCCCACCATTTCATCTGTCTGCAGCCTGCTAGCTGCCGCCCTTTACTCTTCACTTACCCACATGCCACTGCTTGTGGAGTTTAATCTGCCTGCAAGCCTTCTCACATTGCCAGTAAACTCCTGCCTAATGCCTTTAGGACTCAACTGTGTCTTGACGTCATCACCTTTTAGGAAATCACTGCTTGAATTCAGCCTCCCAGTAGATACTTGTTTGTATGTACTAGCCATTTCGTGAGGGTCTGTGACTTCAAGATTAATAAGGCTTATTTCCTACTAAGACACATTTAGGGGTTTTCCCTCTTTTTTGTTCATATCCTCTTTAAAATAGTTTGCATTTCTATTTACGTTCCATTTTCCTGGTTAAGTTAAAATTCTTTGAAAGCATATATCATAATTTATATATAATCTGATAATGATCAATTTTTTGCTAAGGAAAAGTATATGTGTAATATTTGTGCATAATACAGGCTTCTGATTTTCTTATGGGAAAAAAGTATTTGAGGAAAAAAGAAGTAATTGTATAATATAATTGGTTACTAATGTTACTTGCTTGTTTGGTACTGGGGCTTGGACTCATAGTCTCAAGCTCACTCAGCCTTCTTGCTCATGGTTATCACAATACTACTTGAGCCAGGCTTCCATTCTGCTTTTTGCTGGTTAATAGAAGTGAGTAGCTCTCAGACATTTTTGCCAGTGCTGACTTTAAACCATGAGCATCCAGATCTCAGCCTTCTGAGGAGCTAGGATTATAGGTATGAGTCACTGGCGCCAGCCTGCTTTTAATTTTTGTTAGCTCTTTCAGTTAGCTCTTTCACGTTTTTGAAAGCTAGGTTTTATGTTCTTGGATTCTTTCTTATATGCTGTCCTTAACCTTTATTATTGTGTTATTTTCTCTACTTGTCTATCTTCTCAAATGATGGTAAACTTTCTGAAAGCAAAGATCCTCTTATCCATTTAGCATATATTCTCAGAATAAGAAAATGTTCTTGCACGAGAGCACATTTATCTCAGGTAAATACTTACACATTCACTTGGTTTTGCTTGGAATGTTTTTCTTCTTTTGCCCTCTTGTTTGACTCCTTTCTACAAATGCCTCAGTGAGCGGCTCCCAAACCTCATCAGTTCCCTCGGTATAATGGTTATATTGGAGGTATAAAGTAACTGTGATTTTTTTTTGGGGGGGGGGGGGGGTGTCAGGTCGTGCGGCCTGAACTCTGGGCCTGGGCGCTGTCCCTCAGCTCTTCAGCTCAAGGCTAGCGCTCTACCACTTGAGCCACAGAGCCACTTCTGGCTTTTTTCTTTTTGCTTATGTGGTGCTGAGGAATCGATCCCAGGGCCTCATGCATGCAAGGCAAGCACTCTACCACTGAGCCACCTTCCCAGCCCCAGTAACTGAGATTTTTGACATTTGGGGGAAAACTTTTGGGTAATTTCTTTCATCTGGCTAGTAAGCATTTTTCAGTCTTCCATACAGGACAGAGCATATTACCTGAGCTCTGTCTATAATTTCTCTGTCCAGGCTTTTGGTCACTCACCTACTGGGCACCTTTCCCTCCTCAGAGATGGAGGGAGGACTTAGTTCCAATGTTTGTAGTTCAATTTCTTCTTCTTTCTTTTTTTTTTTTTTTTTTTTGCTTTTTTTTGTTAGTTGTGGGATGTAAACTCGGGGCCTGGGCACTGACTCTGAGCTTTTTCTGCTCAAGCCTAGCAGTCTATCTCTTTGAGCCACAGTGCCACTTCCAGTTTTCTGGTGATTAATTTAATATAACAGTCTCACAGACTTTCCTGCCTGGGCTGGCTTTGAACCATGATCCTCAGATCTCAGCCTCATGAGTAGCGAGGATCATAAGCATGAGCCTCCAGCTTCACTTCTACAGGTCCATTGCAAAATTCTCATGGCTTTTTTTCTTTCTTTCTTTCTTTTTTTTTAATTCTAGCGTTAAAAACTGTTGTCTTTTCTTAAGTGATGTCGTTTTTTTTCACTTTAAAATTTAAAAAAAAAGGTAAGCCAGGCACCTGTGGCTTATGCCTGTAATCTTAGCTACTCAGGAGGCTGAGATCTGAGGATCACAGTTCAAAGCCAACCCAGGCAGGAAAGTCCATAAGACTCTCATCTCCAATAAACCAGTAGAAAACTGGAAGTGGTGCTGTGGCTCAAAGTGGTAGAGCACTCGCCTTGAGCTGAAGAACTCAGGGACAGCACCCAAGCCCAGAATTCAAGCCCCACAAAAAATTAAAAAAATAAAAAAAATTTAAATAAAAATAAAAAATGGGTGAGAAAACTGCACATACAAGAATTTTTAATGAAAATGTGTATGTTTATGATGCAAGGGAAGCAAGGAGAGAAGAGGAGGGAGGAAGCAGTGGGGAGAGAGTAGGGAAGATGGGAACATAGAAGGAGCAAGATATACTTGACTTAGTAGATGGTAAATAAGCCACTAAATCCCATTAGGCTTCTTTCTTTTGCTCCTATGCTCATAATGAGGTTTCTGATGAGAGGACTCTGACCTATTTGTGATCTCTTGTTATTGATTTTAAGTCATAGAGATGGTTCCCTTCTTAAAGATGAAGAAATAGTATTGTGTATTTTTAAAATTGCATCTTTGAAAATACTGATAATGCATTATCTAGCTAGTTTTAATGTGTAGCACTGACTTCTTCTTGTTTCTATTTTGTTACATTTTTTATTTGTATTTCTAGTTTTGTTGTTGCTGGTGGTGTTGGTGGTTGTGGTGTTTGGGTTTTGTTGTGGTTGTTGTTGCTAGGGGCTTGTACTCCAGGCCTGAGTTTTTTGCTCAAGGCTAGCGCTCTACCAGTTGAGCTATCACACCACTTCCAGCTTTTTTCTAAGTAGTTTATTGGAGTCTGTCTCATGGAGCGAGGTGCTGGTGGCTCACACTTGTGATGTTAGCTACTCAAGAGGCTGAGATCTGAGAACAGAAAAGTCCATGAGATTTTTTTCTCCAATTAACCACCAGAAAATCAGAAGTGGCACTGTGGCTCAAAGTTGTACAGCTGCTAGCTTTGAGCAATAAAGCTCAGGGACAAGGCCCAGTCCCTGAGTTAAGGCCCACGACCCAGCAGGAGGAAAAAAAAAGTCTCATAAACTTTCCCACCTGGGCTGGCTTTGAACTGCAATCCTCAGATCTCAGCCTTCTGAGTAGCTAGGATTACAAGTGTGAGCTACCAGAATCTAGCTTAATACACATTTTAAATTCACCAAATAGCTTTTGCAAAGCTATTCCAGAAAGTGTCTGGAATTTTCTCATGAATATATAGTGCAGCTGTTTCCTATACAGGCTTGTGGTACAGATAAACATTGTGGCTAGCAAGAAACTATACCTTGCAAAAACTATATAAATGTTAATAAGTAGTGTTTTAACAGTAATTAAAGGCTTTTTGAGTGCTAAACAGGCGCTGTTGGGAATTGGGTATTGGTTGGTGAATAAAAGAGTTGTTGCCCCTATGGAGCTTATTCTCTGATAGGAGAAACGATAATTAAAGTGACTTAAGTTCTGTGGAGGACACGAAGTGCGAACGAATTCAAGGTACAGATGGCAATCATAGAGCAGGAGGGGTAGCTCCTGAAGGACATTTCACTAGAAAACCAAAAGATTGCATTGAATCTTTGAACCACTGCAGGGCTAGAGAATTTCAGGCACAACAGTCCTTGTGAAAAAGTGATGAGTCAGGGAAATGGTTGTTACATTGCAGGAGTTGGGAGAGGCAACAGTGGTTAGCAGTCACCAGTGACGAGTGGCAACAGTCAGTGGTGCACAGTTTCTATATTCTGGGGGCTCCGTGAATCCATGGAGAGCTTGTTTTTACTATGGAACTTGGTGGGGGCCAACAGTGGAAAAGGATGCTAAGGAAGTGATCTACATATGAAGGCAAAGACAAGAGACACAAGAGGTATTGAGAATTAGGGTAATGGGTAGTGAAAAATCAGAGATGATATGATGGATTTAATTTTTTTTTTTTTTTGGTCGGTCATGGGGCTTGAAGTCTGGGCTTGGGCCCTTTCCCTAGATCTTTAGCTCAAGGCTAGTGCTCTACCACTTGAGCCACAGCGCTACTTCCAGATTTAAACTATTTTAAAGAAAGAATTAATTGGTCTTCCTGACAGTATGTGGCACAAGTCATAATAGTAATAATGAGAATTAGTAGAAATAGTAGAAAATGATAAAAGAATTTTTTTTGGGGGGGGGGTCCGGTCATGGGGCCTGAACTCTGGGCCTGGGCGCTGTCCCTCAGCTCTTCGGCTCAAGGCTAGCCCTCTACCACTTTGAGCCACAGCACTACTTCCGGCTTTTTGCTTATGTGGTGCTGAGGAATCAAACCCAGGGCCTTGTGCATGCAAGGCAAGCGCTTTACCACTGAGCCACCTTCTCAGCCCGATAAAAAAATCTTTTTAGTTTCTGGCTTAAGCAGAGTTATGTGGTGATTACTGAGAAGGCAAAGCTTGGAGAAAAACAGATTTGGGCCCATGTTACATTGAACTTGGTAGATGATAAATTTGAAGTGCTAGTGTGGCATTTCAATCCTAAAAGCATTCTTTCCTTTAAAGTTTTGTACTTATCCAGCCCAACACTCATCTCCTTCAGATCTCTTCTCAGATTTTTCTTACTAGTAAGACCCTCCCCCTGGCCAGCCAAGCTACAATTAAAAGCACATGAACCTCATGCTCTTTTTTTTTATTATTATTATTCTATCTGTAGCCTATTAGTTTATTGATTGCTTCCTCACTATATGATCTGTGAGATCAGAGATAATCATGTACTGATCACTGCTGTGTCCCCAGCATCTAAATTTAGGGTGTTGAAATACCAAATCACCTAAAGAAAAATTTTTTGTGGGAAATTTTATACATGTGTACATGTACATAGGTTTGCATTGCTTTCTTTTTTTTTTTTTTTGGTCGGTCGTGGGGCTTAACCTCTGGTCTTGAGCCTTGTCCCTGCGCTCTTCAGCTCAAGGTGAGCACTCTACCACTTGAGCCACAGCGCCACTTCTGGTTTTCTGAGTGGTTTATTGAAGATAAGTGTCTCACGGACTTTCCTGCCCAGGCTGGCTTTCAACCATGATCCTCCGATCTCAGCCTCCTTAGTAGCTAGGATTACAGGCGTGAGCCACTGGCGCCCAGCTGCATTGCTTTCTTTAAAGGTTAAAAACTGTAATTCATATTGTTTCAATTTTTAGGTTACAACTGATGGAAAACCAAAAATCATTGATATCATTGATACAACAGGAAGTGGTGACGTGAATACTGCTACAGAAGTGGAACCAAAAGATGGTGAAATTGTTGGTCTTTCAGGAAGAGTGCTTAAGGTTAGTGTTAGCTTCTTATTTATTTTATTTTTTTTTATTTCTGTGCTGTTGGGCTGGAAAGGTGGCTCAGTGGTAGAGCGCTTGTCTTGTATGCTCAAGGCCCTGGGTTTGATTCCTCAGCACCACATAAGCAAAAAGAAAAAAGCCGGAAGTGGCACTGTGGCTCAAGTGGTAGAGTGCTAGCCTTGAGCTGAAGAGCTGAGGGACAGCGCCCAGGCCCCGAGTTCAGGCCCCACAATTGGACCCCCCAAAAAAGAAATTTCTGTGATTTGGGAATCCAGGTGTGACTAAGCTGGATAACCTCCAGTTGTTGTTCTCTGAGAAACTTGCATATCATTGGCTGCAGCGAGGCTTAACACACCCATGTGTGCGTATGTATGTGTGTGTAGCTGTTAGCAAGCTTATTGGAAGGGTTTAGGCATTTCTTGGCCTCTCTACCATGGTACTTTATAAAGCATGGCAGCTATCTTCTCTTAGGGCAAGTAAGAGCCCAGTCCTTTATTAAGTAATTCTGAAAGTGATATCTATCACTTCACTAAATTCTGTTCATTCAGAGTAAGTCAATAATTCCAGTATACGTTTGAGGGGAGAGAATCTCATAATACTACAAGACGTGGATCATTAGGACCATGGTAGAAGAAGCTGTTTGCTTTGTTATTAGATAAAACACCTAGAGCTGGAGTTACTTTTTCATGAGATTGACAAATTCCACTTTTAAGTTTTAAATAGTGGAGAAAGTGATCCCCTATAGTTTGACCTCATCATTTCCTATCCCTTTATAGTTTTATCAGTTCACTTGACTGGAAAGAATATTTATGCCATAATAACTATAGATTTAAATATTTGGCCTTTATTCTGTGTCCTTGCTAGAAAGACTTGAATAAACTAAACATAAAAAATAATTATAGGAAGTGGTGCTGTGGATCAAGTAAGTGGTAGAGTGCTCGCCTTGAGCTGAAGAGCACAAGGACAGCACCCAAGCCCAGAGTTCAAGCCCCACGACCGACAAAGAAAAAAGGAGAGAAATAAACAACTATCACCAAAAATAATTATAAAACAAGCACAAGAGTAGTTATGAGATATTAGCTAAGTGAGTGTGGAGAATGGAAAAAATTGATTATAATTTCTTAGTCTTTTTTAAGCTAATAAAAAGAATTAGATTGGGGGCTGGGAGGTTGGCTCAGTGGTAGATTGCTTGCCTTGCACGCATGAGGCCCTGGGTTCGATTCCTCAGCACCACATAAACAAAAAGCCAGAAGTGGCGCTGTAGCTCAAGAGGTAGAGCACTAGCCTTGAGCTGAAGAGCTGAGGGACAGTGCCCAAGCCCAGAGTTCCCAGAACTGACAAAAAAAAAGAATTAGATTGGAATGAATTATACTACTTTAGGAAACAGCATTCCTAGTAAGTCAGATTTAGAACGTATCAGGTATTATTCTTAAGTCATTTATTTTTAGATCGCTCTAGTAGCCTGTTTAGAATAAACCATATGAACTGATGTCATTAATGCTCAAAGGTAAAATTACATGGATAATGTCTATATATTCTCATTAAGAAAGGCGAAAACCTTTGATAAGATTAATAAATACATGTTTTTCCAACTTGATGTATTTCTTCAGCATGTTTAAAACAATTAAAAATCTGAAAATATCAAGGGTGAAGCTTGGCATGAAGTTGTGTCTCTGTGACTTACATACATGCATAACAAATGTGTATAAGAAAGCTTTCTAAAGAATTGCTAGTGACAGTCTCAAGCTAGACATTACAGTAGAATGGGTAGAATGTTCTGTATACAAACAAGCCATGGCATCACAGCCCTGAAAGTGAACACATTCTTGCTACATGTTGTGGGCAAATGTTATAAATATCAAAGAATTTCAAATCCTCCAGGCACTACAAAGGAAAGATAAATGAGACTATAAAATTATACAGAAATGAAGTCATTACATAAAGTTCAAAACTAGTTATAACTAAATTTTAAGTAAGTAGTAAGACTGCAAAGGAAAGAAATTATTACCATGAAAGTTTAAATTGCTTGTAATCTGAGAGAAGGCAAGAAGTTTCTGGGATAATGGTAATATTCTTTGTCTTTGCTCTTAGCTTCAGTTATGTGTAGTTGTATGTATGTATATATGTGTGTTGCCTGTTTTCTTTTGTGCCATTATCGTGGGCTTGAATCTTGAACCTCAGGCGTGCATTATTGCTGTGGTATTGCTATACATATCGCATGTATATGTGTTCTCTCAGTCTACATTTTACTTTTCACATAATTTAGCTTGATGAATCAAGTTCTAAACTTAGTTGAAGCTGGGTACTGGTGGCTCATACCTGGAATCCAAGGTACTCAGGAGACTGAGATCTAAGGATCACAGTTCAAAGCCAGCCCAGGCAGGAAAGTCTATGAGACTCTATCCCCAATTAACTACCCAAAACCAGAAGTAGAGCTGGGCTCAGAGTGATGGAACACAAGCCTGAGCAAAAACGCTCAGGAGCCAGGCGCCGGTGGCTCACGCCTGTAATCCTAACTACTCAGGAGGCTGAGATCTGAGGATCGCGGTTCAAAGCCAGCCCGGGCAGGAAAGTCTGTGAGACTCTTATCTCCAATAAAACCACTAGAAAACCGGAAGTGGCACTGTAGCTCAAGCAGTAGAGTTTTCGCCTGGAGCTGAAGAGCCCAGGGACAGCGCCCAAGCCCAGAGTTCAAGCCCCACGACCGACAAAAAAAAAAGTGCTCAGGAACAGCACCCAGGCCCAGAGTTCAAGCCCCTTATCAACCCCCTAGAAGTAATTACTTGAAAAATTATCTGTCTTTTCAATAGGATTTTTAACTTATGACTTTTTTGGCTCATTGGTTATGAAGATATTCTATATTTCTAAAAGTCTTTTTCTCTTCATATTTGGTCTAGAATTTGACAAATAGATTTTATGCTTGGTTTGAAACAAGATCCCTATTTTCTTTTTCCATAAGAATCCCCAATGTCCCAGAACCAAGTATTTCTCCAACAGTTTTATTTCCTTTTTTTTTTTTTCCATTTTGCAATCTTCAAAATGTGACCTTCTCATGTCTTTGTCCTTTGTGGTTCCCCATCCCATTCTAATTGTAGACACATTTTGGAAGGGAACAGCGCTGTGCTTTATTTTTAACTGTGTTCATTTAAGTTGAAACTACTTTAAAATGATCACTATTTAGCTTCACATATTTTAAGAAAACAACAACAACAAATGTAAAGGGCCAGCCCAGTCACCTTGAATCCCATGACTAGATTTAGCACCGCATGTAGGTGCAATGACAGCTGGAGGAGATGGTGTTCAAGAGCACTGGCAAGTGCCAGGCTACAGAGTCTGAAGTCAATTGGAGGAGGGGGAACCTACAAGGATTTTTACTGCTTGGTGCAGTAACACATGATGATATGAGGTGCATTGAAGAAAAAGTTGTTATTTTGGTTTCTTAAGAAGGAAAGAAAGAAAGATAAATAGTAGTTAGAGACATACATGTCTTACTAATTCATTTGATTATATTGTGGCTACTATAATCATGTTTAAGATAGCTGTTTATTTATTTTCAGCATCCCTGCATTATCCCTGTGGTGTGGTAGAGAGTAAAGGGTGGACTTACAGATTTTCAAGTGTGAAAAGTAAAATGAGGTATCAGCATTATTTTAAAAATACTAATAATCTTAGTGGTTTAATGAAGTAGTGTTTTTTGGAACACACTTTTAAACTGAAGCACTATGTAAATGAAGGGTTTTTGGCTGAGCAGTCTTTTGTTTATGGATGTGAAAAATGAAGCAATAATGATGTTAAGTAAAAACTTGGAATATTAAACATATTTCTCTTATAGAGGATCAGCTTATTCAGTGTTAGCCATGAAGCACAATTATAAACTACTTTCTACCCCAGGGTGTACCATTGGTATTAGAAAACATTGAGTGAGTGAATGATTTCCCTTTTCTCTGTAGATACCTACAAGCTGGACAAATCCTTCAGGCAAATATCATATTGGCATAAAAAATGGCTATGACTTCTACCCAAAGGCTCTCAAAGAAAGGATACAGGTATGTACAGCCCAGTGGCAATGGTTTGTAAATCTTCCTGAGGCCTTATTCCTATTGAAAGAAATAAAAAGATGTTTCACAATATCTCATTAATTTGGTTCTTTTTTGGTGTTTCTTTTTTGGTACTGGTGATCAAACCCAGACTGTGTTGTACTTGCTAGGTAAGCACTTTACCACTAAAGCTACATCCTAGCCCCTTATTTTGGAGAGTGGGTGACTTTCAAAAAATTATTGCATAAAGAAAAATTCTGTTAATGGAATGTGACCCACTTAAATTAGTAGTTCTTAATCCTGGACTCATGGTTAAGTTTAAAGAATCTAAATACAATGAAAATATACTCAAACTTTTCTGTGTTAGTGCTTTCTGGGAAGTGGAATGATTTTTCATTTGATTTTTGAAAGACTTTTCTATTTGAAAAGGGTTAAACATGGTTCACTAGAACTACCAAATTTATTTCTGTTCCTGAAGTCTCTAAGAAAGTTTGCTTCATATTTCTTGCTGTCTGGCTATCTGTCTGTACAGTTATAGTCACCATTGAGTATTAAGTGTAGGGTTATAATCAGAGCACAGCTGCTGATGTGAGGTCTAAGAAGCACAAGGCTGTCATTAGAGAAGGAAGAGCTTAAATAAGAGTGGCGAGGCTCTTGCTTTAAAATAGAACTTCCTTTTAGCACACAAGTGCTTAAAGTGTTCATTCAGTGTCTCTTCTGTCCATTGGGGGAGGGAGGCACCAGCCTTGGTAGGCATTGAGGACTTGAAATCCATGTATAACAGATGATTGGAATGTTAGTTGTATGTAGTATTTTAAAGTGTAAGTTTACATAGTAACCATGGCTAGTGGGTACTATATTGGACAGTGCCACATGTAAAATGCTGTGGTGATAGTAGTGATCCAAGTCTAGCACTGCAGCTATAAAACAAGGAATGATACCTACACATCACAGTGGTATATGCTTCCTCTGGGGTCTGTAACACAGAATTCGTTATTCTAATGCACATAATATTTAGTACTATTTTATTTAAAATTTTCAGCCTGAAACAAACATGTTGTGGCTTTGCTATTTAGTACATAAAATTTAATCAATTCCGTTGAAACATATAAAGTGGTTAAGTGGACCCTTCTTTTAGCTTAGTCAAGTTGATTAGTTTTTTAAAAAGGATTCCTTTCACTTGTGTTGGAAGTTACTGAGTGTTAAAGATAATAAAGGTTAATACAAGTCCCAGGAGTCTAGAACCCAGGTCAGGAGTAATGAAGACTGAGGGTCCCTGCATGCCCATCCAGTAGTTGTCATCCTCTGCACCCAGCCTTGACTTTCATTGCTTTAGGCATTTTGCAGTGCCCGAGTTGAGAGGTCAGTATTTTCTTCCTTTAAATGACTGAGAATTCAGTTTTTTGCAGTGGTTCTGAATTTTATAGAAGAGAAGGATTTACATTAAACATGGCATGTCTTGGTACTTGCTCTAAAATAGCTGTACGGCATCATATCTGCTGGCCAACAGGCCTCCGTGTAGACTACTAGCTAGGATTACCTACAGATTTTCCAGTCCCATTGTAAGATCAGTCTTTTGTCTTTGCAGAAAGAACGGAAAGAAAAAATATGGGATCCGGTTCACAGGGTGGCTCTTGCAGAAGCCTGTAGAAAACAGGAAGAATTTGATGTCAGCAACAACGGCACTTCCCAAGTTGGTGCTAAGTTTTTTTTGTTTGTTTGTTTTTTAGACTGCCACAGAGCCTATTTTTTAGATTTCTCAACAAATGCATGAACTACTTTTTCACTGGTTTACTTTTTTCTGTTTATCTCTTTACTAGGTTAATATTACTGATTTTTCCTTTATTATTTATGTTGATATTTTCCTATTTATCAGTGGTTTCAGCCTGTTATTATGAACTGTATTACTTTAGCTGCACTGGGCCTTATCCAAGCCCCTGCTCCTTCCTCCGCCCCAAAGGCAGCCACCATTCTGCCTCCTCTACCCTGTGGAGTGATTTTTCCTACCTTGGGTTTTCTAAAGTGAACTGCACAGGATGTCCTGTTTGGCACTTGTAATGTTAGGGCATCTGTTCACCTCTGGGGCATTATAGTTCATTCTTTCCTCTGTGATAGTCTATTTAGTGGATGTACCACAACTTAACCACTTCAGCTGTTTGGCCAACAGCTACTTGCTTAGTTTTTGTTTTTTGTCTGTTTATACTAATGTCGCTTTAAATATTCTTCAGTATGTCTTTTGGAGGATGATAAAGTGATCATACTAATTTGTATTTCTAACAGAACTATATGAAAAAAACCCACTAATTTTTAATCAATTTATAAATGAAAGTAATTTCTCCACTACAAAAATTATATGTGCTAATTTCAGCAATTTGGAATGACCAAGTGTAATGAAGCAGCAGTGAAAGAAAGCCTTCATACTGCCATGACCAGGAATGTTTACCACAACTTAAGGTTGTGAATTGTTGATTTAATATACCACATTTATCATTTTCCTAATCAAAAATGGACTCTCATTAGCAGTTGTAGACCCACTGCTGGAGAATTATACAAAATACCAATGCTCATGTCCTAGAAAGAAATTAGATTCAAGCCATATGGGAGAGACAGGTGTTTTTAAAGCTCCCAAGGAACATTAATTAAAAGTGCAGCCAATGTTAGGAAAGAAGCAGTGACCTATTCCCATATTCCTGTGTACAAATTTAACTTATATTTGCATGATCTGTATAGATTCCTTTCAACATCTGTATAGTTTTCAAATGATTATGTACAGTAAAGTTTGGTAACTACTATCCTGCCAGTCTCAGCCATGAGGATGAGAAACCTGCTCAGGATTGAGCTGCTGATAAATGGCAAAACTGGGTTTGGATTCATATTTCTCAGCTCTAGGGCAGTACATATACCACACTATTTGTAAAATGAAAATTGGTTTTTGAACAGTCTAAACGTTGTTTCTCAGAGGTGGCTAAACATTTCTGTAAACATAACATTATCATGATTAGGTAACATTATCATTGTATTATGAAAATAGAGGCAATTTGTAACTGGCTCGGTATGGTTGTATTCCAGTTAAACTTCAGGCTAGATTAAAACGAGCTAGACCTGATCCTGGTCCACACAACACAATTTTCAACTTCTACCAGAGCTTACTAGTTATGTAATGAGTACGAGTTTTTGTACTCAAACTGTAATTGATTATTTTTGACAAGGTTTTGTATTGCCCTTTTGTGTTCTGTTTAAGCATGCCATGTCCATGATGGTTTCATGCTCTTGTTAGAGAAGAGTCTGGGGGAGGGGGTGCGTGTTATTTAATGTGTTGATACTCTGTTTTGAATCATTTGTTTAGTCTCATGACCTCAAAGCTAAAATAAAATCCCATTAAGTCCTTGCCCCATTAAATCCTTCTATGTACATAAAACTTTTCTTTCTTTTCTTTTTTTTTTTTTTTTTTTTTTTTTTGGTTGTGGGGCCTGAACTCTGGGCCTGGGCGCTGTCCCTCTGCTCTTCAGCTCTGGTTAGCACTCTACCACTTGAGCCACAGCACCACTTCCAGCTTTTTCTGTTTATGTGGTGCTAAGGAATCAAACCCAGGGCCTTTTCTGTTTATGTGGTGCTAAGGAATCAAACCCAGGGCCTCATGCATGCAAGGCAAGCACTCTACCACTGAGCTACCTTCCCAGCCCTATACATAACACTTTTAAAGAAATTCAGATATTTTATGTATTTGATTATTTGAGTTCTTGAAAAGTAAATTGGATATAAAGATGATAACGTATTTTATAACAAATAGAAGGCAAGGGGAGGGAGGGAATGAATGAATGAGAGACTAAAAGAATTCTTAACTATTTCATTTACAAATTTCTACTGCTTCATTGAATTGAACTACATAGATGTTAAAAAAAATTCTTATAAAACTTTTTACCAGGATAAAGTGACTTTTCTGTTGGTCAACCACTGTCTGTCCATTTGTTAGCAGGACTTAAAAGCACAAAATGTCCTAATATTGATCTACTTTCTTTTTTTTAAATCTATTTTCTAATTAGGCAAATAAACTAATTAAGGAAGAGCTTCAGAGTCAAGTGGAATTGCTAAATTGTTTTGAGAAAAAGTATAGTGATCCTGGTCCTGTTTATGACTGCTTGGTGTGGCATGATGGTGAAGCTTGGAGGTAAATTTCATGTATTTTAGATGCCATTTTGAGAAACTTATTTCCTTAGTTATAATAGGTGGTTGAGGATAGGTATTCACAATAGTGTTCCTCATTGCACCTGAACAATTTGAAAGTCACTGCATTTACTACAAACGAATGGCAAAGGAGGAAAGTTGGGTGATGATGTTTTAAATAGAGACTGGGTAATGAGTCAAAAGAAGCACTGTAACATAGTGATTGAAGGCTGAGTTGGAATCTTCCAACTTTGAATACAACACTTAAACCTTTCTAAACCTGTTTCCTTGTCTATTTATGTGATTGTAGTATGTATAAATGTCTTATGAAAATTAAACTTAGTCTTCCCAGATACAGTAAGGAATCAGTAAATGTAAGATATTCTGCAGTTATTTCTGCTACCATCACCAGTAATGTGACTTACCCTGAGTTACATTATTTGGTTTCTTTTTCAGTGCTTGTAAAGAGCAGGTGTGTTTCTTGTAGTTGGAGTTTTCTTCTTGCATTACTATCTACATGAAAGCAAATGTGCTCTGATACAGATGAGTCCTGTTTATGTTTTAGAGAACCCCACAATAAGAAGCCAGGACTCTGCTTTGAACCTTATAACTAAGAAGCATTTGCAATATGAATCCCTACACAAAGGCCATACGGATTATGACATCATTGCTTGATAACTGTTGAGACTGCTCACTTTTACCACTCAGCCTTCTAAAGGAAGAGCTTTCTTCCGGCTTATGCCTTGTTTGCTACTACTTAATGAGAAGTTCTATTTTTACATTGAAGGGTTAATAAGATATGTGTTTGAATCCAAACAGTATTTGTGTGTGTGTGTGTGTGTGTGTGTGTGTGTGTGTGTGTTCAGATAGGCTATTTTGGTTTGCTTGTGTGCAGGCATACACAGGTGTTGAAATTTTCCCCCTAAGTTTTATACAGAAAGTGTTCATCACAGTGTTTATAAAATAAAGTCATTTACATGTATAGTTCCGAATGTCTTAGTATATGTACCCTTGGTGTACTATTGAACTGATTGTTACTTCATTAAGCAGACTGGAATGAGTTTGGTGTGGGAGAACGAGATAAGGCAAAATGTAAGGACGATGCTAAATGCAAAACTGAATATACTACAGAAGGACTTAGATATGAAAATGTTAATAGGAATTGGAGAGTATTTGCTATGATTCTGAAATCACTGCAAATTAGTTTTCTCCTTAGTTCTTAGCTTAGAATAAAGAGCAGGGTGCCATTTATGTTTACAGAAGACTTTCTGGATGAAGTGATTCTTTTGTTTGTTGATATCTATTACCTTTAGAATTTTGGTGTTAGAAATGAAATTCAATCAAAGATTAAATGAAAATTGGAAGCCCTGGGGAACTTTTTAGAAAATTGTAGTATAATCTGTGAAAATTGTAGTATAATTTATGCAGCAAAATTGTTCTTTCAGGTGGTTCTTGTTTGCATGACATAATCAATGCTGTAATTTAATTCTCTGCCGCTCCTAGGGCATGGGCCTGGGCGCCGTCTCTGAGGTTCTGTGTTCAAGGCTAGCACTCTACTACTTGAGCCACAGCTCTGCTTCTGGCTTTTTGGTGCTCAATTGGAGATAAGAGTCTCATGGATTTTCCCACCAAGGAGTGGCTTTAACCATAGTCCTCAGATCTCAGCCTCTCTAGTAGCTAAGATTATAGGTGTGGACCACTGGCACATGGCTTAAGGTCCAAAATTTGTAAAAGAGAATCTTGAGGATCCCAAAGTTCCTAAGGAAAATTTAGGTATTATCTGTGTTCTTGTTTCTACTTTTGAAATGTCAACTTCCTTTCTTTTTTTCTTCTCTTTTTTTTTTTTTTTTTTCTTTTGTTGGTTGTGGGGCTTGAACTCTGGGCCTGGGCGCTGTCCCTCAGCTCTTCACATCAAGGCTAATGCTGTACCACTTGAGCCACAGCACCTCATTCATGCAAGGCAAGCACTCTACCACTGAGCCACCTTCCCAGCCCCTTAACAGCTACTTTTTAAATTAAACCAACCAAGCTTTCTGAAAGTTATAATTTTTGAACACTTTCATGTTTGCCCTCTGTGGAGTTCATGAAATCATTGACTACTTAAACTTTGATGGGATGCTTATATTGTTGATTCGATACTGATTATAAGAATCTGGTGTATGAAAAATGCATCACTATATTTTTATTAATATTTATTCATTAGTTCTTTCACCATTTGGTGAGTATTAAGTAGATTCTTTGTACCAGATAAACTTGATAGAAGCTATTCCATGCTCTGGATTCTGCAAAGCATGGAACCAGTCTGGGAAGTAGCACCATTTTAGTTGAGACATTAAACTCTTAGCTAAGCAAAGAGGATGAGAAAGGTCTTTAAAGATGGAAAGATCAGAAGCCATTGGACAAAGTGTAAGGATTTTAGTATGGCCATAGAATTTTATTTGGGGGGTAGGGGTGGGGAGTGTAGTTGTGGAGGTGTGAGGGAAAGGATGATAGGGGAAAAACAAAGAAGGAGGCAACAATGCTTGATAGGAAATGTACTCATTACCTTGCTCATGTAACTGTAACCCCTCTGTACAGTATTTTTACAATAAAAAACTTATTTAAAAAAATTTTTAGCTGGGTGTCGGTGGCTCACGCCTGTGATCCTAGCTACTTAAGAGGCTGAGATCTGAGGATCACAGTTCAAAGCCAGTCCAGGCAGGAAAGTCCATGACACTCTTATCTCCAATAAAACCACTAGAAAACCGGAAGTGGCACTGTGGCTCAAGCGGTAGAGGTCTTGCTTTGAGCTGAAGAGCTGAGGTACAGCACCCAAGCCCAGAATTCAAGCCCACGACCAACAACAACAAAAAAAAGAATTTTATTTTATTTTTGCCAGTGTTGGGGCTTGAACTCAGGGCCTAGGCACTGTCCCTGACCCTTCTTTTGCTCAAGGCTAACACTTTACCACTTGAGCCACAGCACCACTACTGGCTTTTTGTTTTGTTTTGTTTTACTTATATGGTACTAAGGAATAGAACTCAGGGCTTCATGCATGCAAGGCAAGCACTCTACCCAGCCCTTCATGGGGTATTTTGTGAGGGAAGACACAGGGGAGTAAGTAGAAGTTTGATAATGTGGGACCTTACAGAGGTTCAGCTTGGTAAAACACAATTTTTGTTTTAAAAAATGTGTTCCAAAGCTAGATGCTGGTGGCTCATGCCTGAGAGACTCGTATCTCCAGTTAACCACCCAAAAAGGGAATTGGAGGTATGATTCAAGTGCTAGAGTACTTTGCTTGAGTAAAAAAGTTCAGGGACATCTGGGCCCTGAGGGCAAGCTTTAGGACCTGCACCAAAACACAGAAATGAAAAAGTGTGTTGTGACGTAACAGTTATGTTTAAATGCTGTGCACCCCATTTGTGACTTTTTAATATTGGAATTACTTACTTAGACTACCACATTTTGAAATATGTCTTTAAAATTGAAAACATGGCAGAGAAAGATTAGGCAGAAGGACAGCCATAAAGTTACATAGAAAATGCATATGCCTAATACTTTGATAATTGCTCGTTTGTTTGGACTGTGAGACTGAAGTCTGATAAGAGTTCATCTAGGTTGAGGACATGTGTATAGGCTTCTGGATTCACATAGGAGAAAGTGAGTCTAGGCTTTGTCTAAACCATCCTATAGTATACAACATTCCAGCCTAAGTTTTGGATCTAAGTTCTTTGGTGGCCAGATCATTTTTCTACTGAAGGTTACCGATGGGCAGTGTTGTTGAGCAATCTGTGCATGTTTTAAGCAGTGATTCCTAGAAACTCTCTTGTCTAGGCCTTAACTGCTGACTCAGAAATAAAGGAATCTAGTTATTGTGTTTGAGTGAAAGGATGAATAGGTAACTGAGACTTATGTGTCATTCAGGATAAGAAAATTGGTAAAAATTGAATAACTTTTTCTTACTTAACAGAGCCTGCATTGATTCCAATGAAGATGGAGATTTGAGTAAAGCCACAGTTTTGAGAAACTACAATGTGGCCCAAGAATATGGCTCTTTTGGCACAGCTGAAATGTTGAATTATTCTGTTAATATTTATGATGAGGGAAATCTGCTCTCCATTGTGACTAGTGGAGGTATTCTCTTTTGTATTTACTAATGAGAGGTGGTAATGGTGTAGAATAATAAAATCCTATAGTGCAAAGCAGCCTTTTACAGAATTTAATCTGGAGATTCCCAACTAAAAGACTACAGGCATGAGCCACCGGTGCCTGGCTTCTTCAACCTCTTCCACCTGCATTCCAAGCAACCATTGTACTGCTTTCTGTTACTCTGAATTACTTCGTATTTCTTAGACTTTTTTTCTCACTACACACACACACACACACACACACACACACACACACACACACACACACACACACACACACACACACACACACACACACACACACACACACACACACACACACACACACACACACACACACACACACAGTTTGCTCCTTATTGCTGAGTAGCATTTATCACATGGGTATATTCACACACACACACACACACATAGTTCACACACACACACACACACACAGAGTTTGCTCCTTATTGCTGAGTAGCATTTATCACATGGGTATATTCACACACACACACACACACACACACATAGTTTGCTCCTTATTGCTGAATAGCATTTATCACATGGGTATATTATTTTTTCAACTGCTTGTAGATATTTAGATTGTTTTAACAATTTTGTATGAACTTTGATAGTTTATCTGGGCCAATAGGTAAGAATTCTGATTCAGTACATTGATCTTTTTAAAACAGGTTGGTGGTTTGCCTCCTCTGTTCCCAAAGAGGGTGGAAGCTGCTGATAGCCTTCATCTTGCCTGCTCCCAGGGTCCTTGGTCTTCCTTTAGGATGGCCACTCTGACTGGTGGGTGGTGGTGACAAGATTTTTTTGAGGGGAAACTTAACACTAAAATTTTGCTTTGCTATTTTTAACTGGAAAACGTAAATGAGAATTAGAAATATTGGGTATGTATTTTCTTGCATGTCAACCTTTGCTGTCCAGAGCAGGAGAGTCTCAGCTTTGTGGAGACCTACTTTGAAGGGTCCTGGAGCTCTGCTTCTCCACTCTTCCCACATAATAGGCCCATTGTCATTTATCATTGTACTTGTATTACTTGTTTATGCGTTTTTTAATAAGTTTTTTATTGTGAAAATACTGTACAGAGGAGTTACAATCACATGAGCAAGGTAATGACTACATTTCTTACCAAGGATTGTAGCCTCCTCCTTTGTCTTTTCCCCCTACTATCCCTTCCCTCCCATCTCCACAACTACATCTCCCCCCTCCCCTTTCCGCCTAAATTGTAAAGTTCATTTTTCGACATACAATCTTGTACATCTCATTGTTGCAATGGGTCAACCTGTGTCCCTATTTAAGCAACTTGTTTTTTCCTTTCCACTCCCCAAATTATACCAACATCAAATACTGTGAAAACAGGGGTTATACCATGGGGGAGGGACATACAAAACAACAACAAAAATCACATGGTACCTTATAAATACGCTAGAAACAATAGCAAGAAAGAAAAAACCACTTGTGTCCTTATCTTGGGGTTCATTTCGCTTAACATCATCTTATCTGACCTTTTCTGCTTGTCTTAGATATATACTAGTTATTGCAAATAAGGGAAACCATGGGACCTATGTTTCTTTGGGCCTGGCTTACTTCACTTAATGTAATTTTTTCCAAGTCTTTGCATTCCTAACAAATGGGGCAATGTCATTCTTTCTGATGGAGGCATAGAATTCCATTGTGTATATATACCACATTTTCTTGATACATTCATCTACTGAGGGGCATCTGGGTTGGTTCCATATGTGTTTGTTTTTGATAGTAGTGAGATATTTCTATATTCATGCCTTAAGAAACTTTTTCACTTGGGGGGAAAAAAGTCTACATTTTGTTTTTGTTTTACTTTATTCATATAGGATATATATGCAGGATATTATATAAATCACAAGTTGGATACTTAATGAATTATGCTAAAATGGGTAATTGTTGGTAGCACCACCTAGATCAAGAATTAGAACATTACAAAGCCTGCTTCATGCTCTTGTTCTCAGTAACCCTCAGCAAGTCAGCTGATTAACTGTGTCCTGATTTTCTATTACTATGTTACTTTTTACCATATGCTGTTTGTCTACATCAGAAATGATAAAATAGCAGGCAATTTCACAGCCTTTCATTTATAGAAATCTATGCATTCATTAGTATTTCTATATATAAATGAAATGACTGAAACTGTTTGAATGGGAGTTCAGTTCAATCTTATTTTTGTTTCATTTTCATAATACATAGAAACAATTCATATTTATAGCTCTAGTGATCAATTTTGTGAATTGATATACCATATATTCATTTACTGTTAATGGATCAGGTTTAGATTTTGAATTCTACAAATAAGGCTTTAGGACATTTTGATGGATATGTTGTATTCATGTGCACACATTTCTCTGAAATGTAGCTCATGTTAGGATCCCTGAGTCAATGAGTTGTGCCTAGGTTGAGCTTTTACTCTCACAAGCAGCATGTGATATACGATCCTGTCCACACTTAGTATTGTCAGTCTTTAAAATTTTAGCTATCCTGAAAATATGTAGAGGTATCTCCTTATGGCTTTCATTTGCAATTCCCCAGATCACTAAGGAAATTAAGCATCATTTCATAGGTTTGTCTGATGTGTGGAAATGGCCTCTTTTGTGAAATACGTTTTATTAAGTAGTTGTGCGAAGGGATTTCAGTTCCAGAAGTGAGTGTATGAGTACAGTGCATCTTAATCACTGTCACCCCTGGGACTTATATTTTGCTCTCCATGAACAGAATAGAATTCCGGGTAGCAGAAAGTAAACGTGAAAGTTTTCTCTTTGTGAATTATTATTATTATTACTTAGGATTAATTAGATCAGGATATATTTTTACTTGGCTATTTAAACCAGGATTAATGTGCAGGTTTTATTAATGGTTAAATTTTTCATATGTGTGAGGATGTCCCTCTTTCTCCCCCATATATACTTCCTGCCTCTAGGAGCTCATGGTACACATGTAGCCAGTATAGCAGCTGGACATTTTCCAGAAGAGCCTGAACGGAATGGAGTAGCTCCTGGTGCTCAAATTCTTTCCATCAAGATCGGTGATACACGGCTTAGTACTATGGAAACAGGCACGGGCCTCATCAGAGCTGTGAGTATTTATGAATTATTGATTGATATAGATACAGATTAGTCATTGATGTTTGTAGAAGTTTATTGAACTATATTTGGTATATGAGAACTTTGCTTATAATAAAATGTTTATCATCTTAAGATTATTTTTCTTTAAAATTATCAGGAAAATTATTTGTAAAAAATGTTGGTTTTATCCATCATTGCTAGTAAAACCACACTAATAAGCAATTTTGAGATACTTTTTGAAAAGTTGTCTTAGCCAGCTCACTCCTATCAGCTAAAAGATATTTAAAACTTCACAGATACTCTGTACTTTATTTTATCATATGACCTTAATGGTTTTAAAGCCTCTATCTCTTTCCTTTCCTAATCCCACTTCATCCTATAAATAATAGCTTTTTTTTGTTTTTATTTTTACTACTTATGCTACTGTATCTCCTTCTACCTCTTCAGTTTATCATGATATGCCTAGAAGTCATTTTTAAATAAGAATATGCGTGGTTAAGAAACTTTAATGGTCAGGCCCTGGGAGCTCACGCTAATAATCCTAGCTGCTAAGGAGGCTGAGATCTGAGGATCACACTTGGAAGCCAGCCCAGGCAGGAAAGTCTATGAAACTCTTATCTCCAATAAACTACTCAGAAAAAGCCGGAACTGGATCTATGGCTCAAGTGGTAGAGTGCTAGATTTGAACAAAAGAAGCTCAGGGATAGCACCCATGTTTAGAGTTCAAGCTCCTGGACTGTCAAAAACTTTACTAATCTGTTTCTAGAAACTTCTGCCTAAACTAGACTCTTAATTTTTTTAATAGATGATAGAAGTTATAAATCATAAGTGTGATCTTGTCAACTACAGCTATGGAGAAGCAACTCACTGGCCAAATTCTGGGTGAGTGTTTTTGACAGTTGTTGACACTGGTCTGATGAAGATCATTAGATGTTTTAAGTAAATAAATGTCACAGTTAAAAAACAACAGTCATGTACTTAACTATGTGTTTCCTATACCTCAGAACTCCCACTCATGTCCTTTGATGTCAGTACCAGTGATTGATTATATCTGAAATCTCAGCACTGCACTCTTCACTGGCTATAGTAGCTCTGAGGCTCACACCCCTCAAGCCCTGTGGTTTTTGGTTTTGTTTGGATTTTTGTTTGTTTTCACTTCTGACTCTACTGTATGCTCCCTTTGTTAGCCAGTATAGATCTGTCAGATCTCCTGGACTGTTGTTAGCTGTGCTTAATAATTTTTCATTCCACAATCACCTTCCTCAATAATACTTGCCTGACAGACAACCAGGATTGTTCAAATCCTGTTCTGTTCCCTTCATCCACCCTGCACATTGGTTGTATATCTTCACCCCTCCTCCTAATCCACTTCATTTCTCATCTCTCTGTGTGTTTCCCTATCCACCAGCTGCCTTCCCTCTTCCCGGGTTGTGTTATCAGTGTTGTGGTTTATCAGTGATCTGGTAAAACTTTTTTAACTTTTCTTCATGGTGAGGGTTATTTGAAATTACCTGCTTTAGAGCATTTACTTCCTGGTCATCTCTCCCTCCCAAGACCCTAAACAATACCAGTCTTCTGGTTTCTAAAACTTTATAAAGTCTTGTAAAAATGAAAGTTTTCCAGAGCTATAGCCTGTACTTTCCTGTTACTAAGTCACTTTTACTTTTCTCAAATAACTGCTATGGGTTCTTGGGAGACATCACTATACTGCACTTGAAGTATGTACCCATGATCTCCAGTCATTCATCCTGTGTAGACTTGCCTCTTATTTGCTTGTGCTTCATGATTGATTGTCATCTAAATGTATTTTTTTCTACTTCTTTTGTGAGATTGAATCTGGGGTCTCCTTATGTGTATAATGCAAATGCTCTGCCATTTGAGCCACATCCCAGCCCTTATTGAAATGGGATCTCCCTACTGTCTTGCCTGGGCTGGCTTAAACTTTAGATCCTCTTGCCTCTGCCTCCTAAGTAGCTTGTTTTTTGTTTTCCTTGCCACTAACCATACGAGCTCTTTTTGTCAAATTATTCCTAGCCAAAAATAGATGTAGGCCTCCTTGAGAAGTTTTTTTTTTCCCTGAATATATTAAAGGGGAGTCTAGAAATAAAAACATGTATTGCTCCATTATCCAGTCACTTCTGAAGTGTTAGTAATTTGCAGTATATTTTCCAAAATACCCTTTTGCATCCAGCATTTTCCCCACAGTTATTCTAGCCTTATAACTACTCTTCCATACTAAAACCCAACTACATTTCAGCAGGCTGTACGTTTCATTACAAGCAAACCTGCCAGCCTTTACAGAATCATATTTAATGACAATTTTTGTTCTGTGTGTGTGCATGTGTGTACCTAAATGTATATGTATTATATAAAACAGACACATAATACACATGCTTTAACAATAGAGGCAGAGTAGGTATAGTTTTAGAAAGCCTACTGTTTCCAAAGCATACTCTCCTATTTATTGCTGCTGTTTCGGTCCTATAATTTAGAACCCACACTATAATTATTTTTTTGAATTGATGCCGATCCTGTGGCTTGAACACAGAGCCTGAGTGCTGTCCTTTGACTTTTTTGCTCAAGGCTAACAAAACCACTGGAGGCACAGTTCCACTTTCAACTTCTTAGACGTTCACTGGCAATAAGAGTCTCACAAACTTTCCTGCCCAGGCTGGCTCTGAACCTCGAAATCCTCAGATCTCAGCCTCCTCTGAGTAGCTAGAATTATAGGAATGTGCCACCAACAATCATTGTAATTTGATTTTGATATAAGTTTTATAAACGAGACAGTTCTGTTTGTTCAAAGAGGCTGTTCTTTTTCAGGAGGATCTGTGAAGTAATCAATGAAGCAGTATGGAAGCACAATATCATCTATGTTTCTAGTGCTGGAAACAATGGTCCTTGCCTGTCTACAGTGGGCTGTCCAGGTGGAACCACATCAAGTGTTATAGGTAAGTTCCTATTTTGAGAGATAGAAGGTTTTATTACCCCGCCCCCTCCCCCCCCCCCCCCCCCCCACACACACACACAAAGAAAGGGCAAATAGTAGGCTTAGGCATGGGGGATTGCAAGATAGAGGCTGTCCTGGAAAGCAAAGCATTGAACCCCGTTAATCATATGCTGTTTGTCTCTCCCATACCTGACACTGTAGGCCTTCAGAAGCTAGCTTATCCAGAATTTACTACAATTTAAAGAAGATCAGAATAAGTGCTTTCATAGAAGCATACATATGCATTATTTAATCTATATAATATCCTGGAAGTTATTTTTGTACCCAGAAGCAGTGCACTTGATATAATGTAAATCTCCATTGTTTCCTTGTCGGTTTTTAGCTGCTTTGCAAGAGTGGATTTACTCATATAAGTAAGCCAGGCACTAGTGGCTCAAGCCCTAGATACTCAGGATACTCCTAGATACTCCTAGATACTTTTCCTGCCCAGGCAGGAAAAGCCGTGAGACTTTTCAATAAAAGCCACCAGAAAACCGGAAGTGGGGCTGTGGCTCAAGTGGTAGAGCACTTACCTTGAGCTGAAGAGCTGAGGGACAGTGCCCAACCCCTGAGTTCAAGCCCCATGACCGACCAAAAAAACCCAAAAAACTCCACATAAATAGTGAATGAATTTCCTTGGGAAAATTAGGGTATACTGGGTACATTTTGCTTTGTTTTGTTAATAAAACCCATCCCACAGGTGTTGGTGCTTATGTTTCCCCTGATATGATGGTGGCAGAGTACTCACTACGGGAGAAATTACCTGCAAATCAATATACATGGTCTTCAAGAGGTCCAAGGTTGGTGATGGGATCATTGCATATATTTAGTTAAACTTTGCGTAATTGATAAGGGCAAGAGTTTTAAGTAAGTAATGGTGGTATTGTTTTAAATAATTTTGATATTTGATCATTGGTAAAACAAACACTATAAGCTTTTGAGGTTTATGACATTGCCAAGGCTGCCTATGAGTGTTTATGCTTTTGAACTTAGAACTACTTTGAACATTTTGGGTGAAACCCAAAATTAAGCAAGTTCTGACTTAAAACTAAAATCTGTTTTAGTTCTCTGTCACCTGTTGATTCCAGGAACTAATCGTCTTTCCCGAGAGGTATATTAAGTCCTAACTTTTATTATGACATCAGTGAGTATGGGAGCCCAGTGAAAAACAAATCACTTTACCTCCTCAATATTAATTTAGAAGCAGAATAGACTTTGAATTTAGTGCAGTGAGTATGTTACTGTCTGAAGTGGCCAAGGCATAAACAGTTCGTGATCTGAGTTGAGAATGCCAGCGTAGGGTACTGGACCCATAGAGTGGAACAGTCATTTGAGCCTTTCATGGAGGAGACAGTATTGGAATCAGCCTTGTAGGATTGACAGAGGTTGACAGAGAAGGTACGTCTGTATGTTAAGATTTTAACGTCTATATGTTAAGATTTTAATGTAAAACATGATGCTAAACTAATTTAGTGATTTAGGGAGGAAAAAGCTTGTACTTGGGTATATTTGAACTATAGATAGTGGGGTATTGAAAGATAAGATTAGAAGATTGATTGGAATCACATCAAATATGATAATGTTAAATTCTCTTGAGTTATGGGTGTCCTCCTAGTCTTTCCTAGGTAATTTAAGAAGCAAACTGAACTAGTTTTCTACAAACTGATGTGTGTAGTTTGTTGGCAAACTAATATTTGTCACTGTAACCCGTCAGGCTGTGTGTCTTCTGTAATCAGAAAGCTTTGTTTTGTACCTACAACTGGTGTTTTAGTGATAAGAACCGAAGGTCAGCAGTAGTTTTATGTGTTAAATTATATGTTAAATTATTAAATGTGTTACTTGTAAATTGATTTTAAAATGTGAAATTTCATGTTTTAGTCATTATTAAAAGCAAAGTATGCCAGGTGCTGGTGGCTCACAACTGTAATCCTAGCTATCAGGAGGTTGAGATCTGAGGATCAAAGTTTGAAGCCAGCTGGGAACAAGAGACTCTTCAAGACTCTTATCTCCAGTTAACCACTCAAAAACTGGGAGTTGAGCACTAGCTCCAAGCAAAAGAGCTCAGAGACAGTACCAAGGCCCTGAGTTCAAGCCCTACAACCAACAATTTTTTTAAATTTATTAACAAAAACCCAAGTTGTAATACTACTGCATAGATTTAGTTTAATTATTAGGATATGAAATACAAAACATGGACTAATAATTATTGGACCCTAAATATTTGATAGTACTCGTTGGTAGCCAGTGCTCCTCTATCAGTGTTGAACTTAGGTATTCAGTATCTGCTTTTATGTTACCAATGGAGTATACATGGAGGTTGAGATTGTATTATGCATGGTAATTTAGAGCAAAGGTATCACAAACTTTTTTTTTATTTTAATGAGCCAGGCACCGGTGGTTTACACCTGTAATTCTAGCTACTCAGGAGGCTGAGATCTGAGAGTGTGGTTCAAATCCAACCCAGGCAGGAAAGTCCATGAGACTCTTATCTCCAATTAACCACCAGAAAAACCGGAAGTGGCATTGTGGCCCTAGTGGTAGAGTACACACCTTGAGCTGAAGTGCCCAGGCCCAGAGTTCAAGCCCCACAACTGACCAAAAATTTTTTTTAATGAAACATTTCATTAAAATAATTTTTAGAGGGGGCTGGGAAGGTGGCTCAGTGGTAGAGCGCTTGCCTTGCATGCATGAGGCCTTGGGTTCGATTCCTCAGCACCCAATAAGCAAAAAGAAAAAAGCCGGGAGTGGCGTTGTGGCTCAAGTGGTAGAGCGCTAGCCTTGAGCTGAAGAGCTGAGGGACAGCGCCCAGGCCCAGAGTTCAGGCCCCATGACTGGACCAAAAATAAGTAAATAAATAAAATAATTTTTAGAATATTGATTTAATCGTTAGAGAAATAATTTATGATTAGCTATGTTGCAGGATAGTGGAGGATTAAGAGCAATTGTAGTCAGTTTAAGTTCATGAGTCTTTGTAATTACTTTTCCCAGTTATATATCAGGACTCATTGTAAGCATTGGTAGATAATGTGGAATGAACAAACAAGAAAGTAAAAATCAGCCAAGTGCTGCTGATTCATACCTGTAATCCCATCTCCCAGGAGGCCAAGATGTGGAGAATTCTGGCCTGAGGCCAGAGGGGCAGAGCAGTTTACTAGATTCTACCTCCAAAATAACCAGCAAGAAAGCAGGTCTGAAGGCTTGACTGTGAGGGCTAGAGTAGCAGCCTAGCAACCACGAAGCCCTGAATTCAAACCTAAGTACTAAGTACTGCCTTTCCTCCCTTCCCCCGTAAGTGAACAAAGTAAAAGTTGCCCTAAGTCTCATCTGGGATTTGTATGCATGGGTGACACTTCAATAAACATTCATTTTCCTTTGAGAATGACATTCATTGCAGACTGTACTGTTTGTGCTCTTTTGCCTCTTAGGACTATGGTATGAACAGCCTGTTAGCTGATATTTAACCTATTTAAGATATTCACTGAAAGGGGTGACTAGCTTCTTTCAAATACAAGATGCATACATTGCTTTCAGTTCTCTGAAAAAAATGTAAAACTGATTTCTCAAATGTTCCTAGTCAGGAATACAAATACTAGATGTTTAGGGAGGAATCATAAAGGGAAATTCCAGGAGCCTCTAGGGCAGTAGCATGTCATTGTGGTTACTACTTTCCTTGGGATGGAGGAAAGAGCTTGTGTTGAATACCATGTAGTCATGGACTCCAAGGGCTTGAACTCTAAATGTTGCTCAGCCAAATTCCTCAACTGGAGGTCCTATTAGATTTAAGCTGTCCAGTATGGCAGCCACAAATCTTAAGAGGTCAGTCTCAATGATTTTTGTCAGTTATGTGTTAAAATATTTTGAAGGTCTTGTTAAATGAAATATATTATTAAAATTAACCAGCTACTTGTTAGCTTGCGTTTCAAAATGTGGCTTTCAGAATTGTAATTGTATATAAGGTCCATATTATACTTCTGTTGTACAGTGCTAAATTAAGACTTCAAACAAAGTGAAAAACTTTTCATTTAGGTAAGAGAAAAGTATATTTATCAAGAAGCCAAAGTATATTTATCAAGAAAGCAAGCCTGGGCAGACAAGTTCATAAGAGCCTTCTCAGCCCATAGCTGGGTGCATTGGTACCCACCTTTCATTCCAAGCTACAGAGAAGGCTGAGAAAGGCCAGGTACCAGGCAAGTTTAGCAAAAAAGACTGAGATTCTGTCTCCATTAAGGAAGCTGGAGGTGATCTCTCAGATGGAAAGCCTAAAAGTAGGCTTCTCAGTTTTTTCTCTTGAAAATATACCTTGATTTCTCTGGCCTTGCACATACACATAAATCTAGTACACCACATGTACAGATTTTGTCTTGTTTTGTTTTGTCTGATGGGACTAAAGGTTGAACTTCTTGCTTGCCTAGTCTGGGGCAATACAAATGAACTGTGCCTCCAGCACTGTTTCTCATTGGGTATTTTTAGGATAGGGTGTCACTTCTTCTCTGGGGACATACCTGAGCCAAAAAAAAATCTCTTAAACTTCTCATTGAGAAAGACCTAGTGAAAATTTCTGCCTAGGTTTGCTTTGAACTATTGACCAACCTCCTGTTCTTAGCCTTCCAGGTTGCTTGGATTGCAGGGGTGAGTCATCAGCACCTGTATGGAAAAAAATCCACCCAGAATGGACAAAGAAATGCACTGTGATGGGAAATAGCTGTGCTGGGTAGTTCTTCCTCTTACCCCACCAATGATACCCCACAGTAGTATCTTTGTCATTATTTGTAGTGACTACAATTAGCCCACAATGTTGACTGTAATGGTGGCTTTTTTCAGAATGCTCGTGTATATCTGTCTTTCACTGACCAACTCAAACTTTCATGACTTTGTGTTTAGTGCTGATGGGGCCCTTGGTGTGAGCATCAGTGCACCAGGAGGAGCTATTGCTTCTGTTCCTAACTGGACATTGCGGGGGACTCAGCTAATGAATGGGACATCTATGTCTTCCCCCAATGCATGTGGAGGCATTGCCCTGATACTTTCAGGTGAGGACATTGCTTATATCTCTCTTCCCTTATTGCAGACTTTTTCCTGTGTATCTTGGGGTTAGAACATGAAGGAGAAGTGATACCGTCCTGGGGATGGAGTAAAGTTTAAGGTAGAAAATGGTTTATGTGATAATGATACTTGAATATGAATTCATTTATGCAGCATATGAAGTTATTGCCTATATATATATTGTTAATCATTGTTAAGCAGTATTTTAATGGCCTGTGAAGTTATAATTAGGGTAAACAAACTTGAATCAACATTTTTAAATGTTAATAATACATGTTTATAAGATGATAAATGCGGGGCTGGGAAGATGGCTCAGTGGTAGAGTGCTTGCCTTGCATGCCTGAGGCCCTGGGTTCGATTCCTCAGCACCACATAAGCAAAAAGAAAAAAGGCGGAGGTGGCGCTGTGGCTCAAGTGGTAGAGCGCTAGCCTTGAGCTGAAGAGCTGAGGGACAGCGCCTAGGCCGAGTTCAGGCCCCACAACCGGACCCCCCCCCAAAAAAAAAAAGATGATAAATGCTGAGGAGCAAAGTGAAGAAAGAGAGATGAGATTTGTAGTTGAGTGTTGTCAGGGTCACCTGTGAGGTCTTCTCAGGGGTTATGTGGCTCTTAGCTCTTGCTACCTTTCTCATTCATTCTTTCTCTGACCACTATAGTTGATTGCTACTTCTCATGATTCATCCACCCTTGGTGCTAAAAGGATAGCAAGGAGATGGGAATTACATTAAACTCCCTGTTTTAAAGTCATCAATATTAGGTCACTTGCTAGATTGAATCAGAACTCTCAGGGTGGATCAGGGTGGATCCTGATGTCTTCACCGCCTTTCTGGTCCTCAAGCTCATCAAATATGTCAAGGTCTCTTACTTTGCTCTTTGGGCAAACTCCCAAGTATTCTATAAGACCTAGCTTGTCTGCCAGTTCATCCAGTGGGCCTTCATCTCTTGGATTCTCATGGACAAAATTGATCATGTCCTCAATTTGCTCTTACAGCATCACGATGTTTCCGTGTTTGTATTGTTTGCTTATTACAGTTTCATAAATGTTTTCGTGTTTGATGCTCTGGAAAGGACAAAAATGATGCACTATTTATACTTTATCTCTGCAACAGTCAGTCAAGCCTGACCAGTTGTTGGGCTCCTAGACTTTTGAACCCATCCACATGTTAGAATCACATGGAACACTTTTATTAAAAACACATGCTGGTGTCTAGTCCTTAAAGATTCTGATTTTTAGTTGAAATGTCATGAGACTTCTACTTTTTGCCTGAGTTCCCTGGTGCTTATAACATGAACTTACATTGCAAACCATGGCCTGCTGACAATGTGTTTGATCAACAGTACTTTAAAGAGAACATTACTTGGATGCATTTAGCTGCCCACTTTGTGTTCATGCTTGTCACCATGCATGGGCCTGCAGTAATGCCCATGCATTACTGGTGATATGCAATGATGTATTTGAATGAAGCCTTTGATGCAGGCAGTTTGAATATGACTATTTGGACTGCTTTTAAGAAAGTACATTTTAAAAATCGGTGTTGAAATATGACATGAAAACCAGAAATGGTACATGTCATCATAGTGATAAAGTAGTAAGCTTACTAACACTAATTTTCTTGTTTTTTATTTTAGGTCTGAAAGCTAATAATGTTGAATATACAGTTCATTCAGTCAGAAGAGCTCTAGAAAACACTGCAGTAAAGGCTGACAATATTGAAGTATTTGCCCAAGGACATGGTATTATTCAGGTATTATTGTCTACATGAAAAGCTAGTTGTAAAACACCAAGTTTGTAGCTGAGAGGAATTTAGTAACTAAGAGAAACATGGAGGACAAGTAGAGGTTGGAAATCCAAAGAAGAGAAGTAAATCTGAATGAAGAGTGGAGTAGGTTTGTTGGGTGTAATTAGATTGGCATTTTGCTTAAAATATGCCCTTGTTGATTTAATTGGGATATCTTTGGAGAGGTGACTATAGAAAGTCACTTCTTGCTTGTACTTTGCTACAGCTGAAATAAAATGGGTCTGTAATTTGCAATAAAATATTTTCTTGACCCAAACATTTATATCTTATCATTTATATTCTTTTAGGTTGATAAAGCCTATGACTACCTCGTTCAGAATACATCATTTGCAAATAGATTAGGTTTTACTGTGACTGTTGGAAATAACCGTGGCATCTACCTCCGAGACCCTGTGCAAGTGGCTGCACCTTCAGATCATGGTGTTGGCATTGAGCCTGCATTTCCAGAGAACACAGGTAAGTGATGGTCAGGCAATAAGTAAAATTCCCAAGAGAAGTACATAATAGAGGAATATTTTTGGGCAAATATTCCGAAGAGGAAATATCAGTTGGCAACTTGTTCCAAAACTATAGGCTTAAGGGAAAGTATTAGGGCTATTGGGTCCCAGTACTGTGGCAATTCAGATAACATCTCAGCGACCAAAGAAAACATTAGACCAATTAGACCAACAGCCCACAGTGCTGTTAACCTGGTAATGAAATTTCAAATTCCTTTTCCCTCCTCATTTTACCTCATGAATATAGCAGCTTTGAGATGCGAGTGAGAAGTAGAAGCAGGCAAGGACTGCTACAGTTCAGTTAGATACAAATCAAAGTAGTTATCACTGCATATGTCAAATTCCTTTTCCTTCCGCATTTTACCCCATGAATATAGCAGCTTTGAGATGAGAGTGAGTAGTAGAAGCAGGCAAGGACTGCTATAGTTTAGTTAGATACAAATCAAAGTAGTTATCGCTGCATATTTGACAGTATTTCAACAGATGTTAACCTCTGCATGTGGTGCTATAAAATATCCATTGATATTCTTTTAACACATAGCAGTGTTTGATGAAAGTGTGAACAGGTCTAATAAGTATACTAAAATATAAGGAAGAGTCTGACTTTTAAGCAAGCTGTGTTTTTCGGTGGCACTAGTGCACACTGTACAACTGACCAGACTAAATTGCTAAGTAGTCATAACATAGAAGGAAAGGGGAAAAATTGCTCATTTTAATTTTTGGTCTTTTTAATACCAGAAAACTCTGAAAAAATATCCCTTCAGCTTCATTTAGCTTTAACTTCAAATTCATCCTGGGTTCAGTGTCCAAGCCATTTGGAACTCATGAATCAATGTAGACACATAAACATCCGTGTGGATCCCAGGGGCTTAAGAGAAGGATTACATTATACAGAGGTATTGTCACATTCATTTTTCATTTCTTTCCTCTTTAAAATGTTAAGAGTGCAGAGTAAACAGTTGCAAGTGTGTTTGCAGTGTGTTGCATTCTGATTAAGAAGTGGACCTTTTTACTCGCCCAGTTTTACAGCTCTTCTGGTTCTGCATCCATTTAAACAGCTGGATACTTTAAGAATGTCTTATGTGTAGATATCCTCCTCTGAAGAAAGCAAGGGAAAGAAGCAGAACTGCAAAGCTTTTTTACAGAAGTCTCTAATTTGTCAGTTATTTAGTTCAATTGAACTGGGCTGAAATTACCTTTAATACTCAGATGAAAACATTTGTTAAACATATGCTAGTTGTAATGTAAATATAGAATAGTATAGCAATATTTCTATCTTAAAAGTTGTCTATAAGACTAGTTTGAACTAGTCTTCTGTTGAGAGAAATTAAAATGCAACTCTTTTTTACGTGAAGTCTCATTTTACTCCAAAGATTGTGATACCTGGATTTGTTTGGGCTTTTTACTGTTAATTATGTCAGGAAACTGATACCAGCTTCAGCTTAAGTTTTAAGATTAGATGAATTGATTCTGTGACTATATAGATATATACAATACATATAATTGTCTCCTATTTTATAAGTTTGTTTATGGCTATTGAGACTCACCATTCTTTTTTTAAGGTCTGTGGCTATGACATAGCATCCCCTAACGCAGGTCCTCTGTTCAGAGTTCCGATCACTGCAGTTATAGCAGAAAAGTAAGTGAGAACTTTCACAGCTTACTGGTATGTTTGGTGGTTAATGGCTGTTAGACCTCCTGACCTTTCTCCTTCCCCATCCCTTTCTAACACATGACAGGGTTTCTTCAGTTTCTTTATACTCTTCCACTGCCTCCTGCTTGTTAGTTAACAGTTTCTGTTCAATAAGTTTGTGACACATTTCTTCCCACAAGATACATAGGAAGAAATTAAGGCTATTACATTTTTTAAATGGCCTGCACAAAGAAAATTACCTAACAATTAAATTCTTAGTCATGTAGTTCCTAGAAATTTGGTGGGAATTTAAAGTCGGTATATAACACCTTCAATAATCAGCTAATAACATTATCACAGTAAGCTTTCCCAGCCTATCTGTGAGTGAACTATGCATTCTGTATCTGTTTCCTTAATACTTTCTTTCTTCCCACAACTTTCTGTCCCGAGACATTGTGTTAAATATTTCTGATGGTTTTTCTCTCCCCATTAGTTTGTCTAGGACAAAGGATAAAAGACATCTCTATCTTTGAAACATTGATTCTTGTTTAGTAGACACTAAATGTTTGTTATGCTGACTCTAGCATATACTTGGATTTTCCCATAGTTTCTTTAATTTCTTCTAAAAGTATTTTGTCTTTACTTACTGTTTCATAGCATGAAACCATTCTGAAGGTTGAAAGAGGCATTGGTACCAGTTTTATTCATAGGTATAAAACAGTTTTAGTGATAAAACACTGCCCTTGTTTTTAATATCTAGGAATCATTATAGTTAAAATTAGAAAATTCTGTGTTAAAAAGTTCCTTCAGGGGGCTGGGAAGGTGGCTCAGTGGTAGAGTGCTTGCCTTGCATGCATGAGGCCCTGGGTTCGTTTCCTCAGCACCACATAAGCAGAAAAAGCCAGAAGTGGAGCTCTGGCTCAAGTGGTAGAGCGTTAGCCTTGAGCTGAAGAGCTGAGGGACAGCACCCAGGCCCAGAGTTCAGGCCCCATGACTGGCAAAAAAAAAAAAAAAGACCATGCTCGGGCTGGGAAGGTGTGGGAAGGTGGCTCAGTGGTAGAGCGCTTGCCTTGCATGCCTGAGGCCCTGGGTTCGATTCCTCAGCGCCACATAAGCAAAAGGAAAAAAAAAAAAGAAAAAAGCCAGAAGTGGCGCTGTGGCTCAAGTGGTAGAGCGCTAGCCTTGAGCTGAAGAGCTGAGGGACAGTGCCCAGGCCCAGAGTTCAGGCCCCATGACTGGACCAAAAAAAAAAAAAAGTTCCTTCAGCAGAAAAGAGAGAATGTGAGCTTTGAGTAATGTGCTTTATAAATTAAAAAATAATAAATAGAAAATATTATCTGTACTCTGTATATCTGCTAATATTTCATAAAAATGGTCTCGGGCTGGGAAGGTGGCTCAGTGGTAGAGTGCTTGCCTTGCATGCATGAGGCCCTGGGTTCGATTCCTTAGCACCACATAAGCAGAAAAAGTTGGAAGTGGCACTGTGGCTCAAGTGGTAGAGCGCTAGCTAGCCTTGAGCTGAAGAGCTGAGGGACAGCACGCAGGCCCAGATTTCAGGCCCTACGACTGATTAAAAAAAAAAGGTCTAATATTGTACTTACTGTTTGTAATCAGCCTGTAACAAGTTCCAATGTTTATTTCTAATGAACTCTTCTAGTACTGGATAAGTTCGAGAGTATCAGTGGACTCATCCTATTAGTACATAGAGCTGTTTTATAAGAAAATCACCTTTTATAACTGACTTTGGTTAATTTTCAGAGTGAGCGAGTCATCACATTATGATGTGGCCTTCACAGATGTGCATTTTAAACCTGGTCAGATTCGAAGGCATTTTGTTGAGGTTCCTGAGGGTGCAACGTGGGCTGGTAAGAAAGATTACTGTCTGGACCACTTATTTTTATATGCATTCTGTCTCTCAGTGATTGTCTCACAGACATATGAAGTGAATGTAAATTCATAACCCATATGACTGAATGCTTGTGGGGGTCACGGCCCCTGTTAGGCCTTTTACCTTGTCACAATCCTATAGGGTAGACAGGTAACCATTATTGAAAAAATGTCTTAAATGTGACTTTAGGAATAGAGGGTTTTTTTTAAACACCTTTACTGTACTAGGGATTAACTTAGGGCCTCACATTTGCTAGGCAAGTGTTTTATCACTTGAGTAGTCCTTTTGCCTTAAGTTTTTTGTTTGTTCCAGCTTTGATAGTTGGGGGCCACAAGCCTGTGCTTCCACACCCAGGATGGTCTCAAGCCACAATCCTCCTCTCTCTCTGTCTCCCAAGTTGTGAGGTTTATTCAGGGTCAGATTAGAAAGTATTACAGATGGCTCATCTTTCAAATTAGAAACATTGGATTTTGTGTCCTTGATAGTGGATTAGATTTTAGGAGCCTTTTTGAGGATACTTTTTAGATGAACTTGCCTCAGCATGATCTTGACTTACCTCCCACTGTGCCTCACCAGGAAGCTACAAGCTGTGTTTCTGGCGGTCATTCTTTCCTGGACATTGACCAAGAGAAGAGAAAAAGCTAGGACAAGTTGAACAGACACCAGTGCAATTTAGGCAAGATAAATAGATACCTAAAATATAACTGGACATGATAACCTATACAGGACTCTAGGCATACACCACACACACACAATCAGACTAAAGGAGGATACCCTTAGGGGAGGTACTCAAAGGTATAACTTCTCTAAACATTAAAATCCTACTTATAAAAATTAAAAAATCCTATTTATCTGTACTCATTAATCTACTCATGTAACTGGATCACCTCTGTACAGCATCTTTACAATAAAATTAAAAAAATTTTAAATCCTATTTAAATAAAGAAAAAAAGATAAATAGATGTTTCCAAAACTTACCATCCCTGGGTTCCCTCCCTCCCCCTTCCCCCCCCCCCCCCCAATTTTCAGGGAAAACTGAAGGAAATGAGGGATTTTAAAAGGAACATTATTTAGATACTTGTGTATGCATCAATGGACACTTTTTAGTGGGTGGTGGTTTATTTAAACACATTTATTTCCTGTAGAATATCTTCTACTCTTCTAGCTTTACTAATATTCTATTGCTTTGTTTTTAAAGAAATCTGCGGTTTCATTTGAATGCACCATTTTATACTTGACATAACCAAAGAAGTGGACATTTATAGCACCAGTTTCTGAGCATTTTAAATCTTACCAGTTTAAAACTTTGCCTTGTTTTAGAAGTTACCGTGTGTTCCTGTTCTTCTGAGGTATCGGCCAAGTTTGTTCTTCATGCAGTACAGCTTGTGAAGCAAAGAGCCTATCGAAGCCATGAATTCTACAAGTTCTGTTCCCTTCCAGAAAAAGGAACACTGACTGAAGCTTTTCCTGTCTTAGTAAGTTTAATTCACAGATTGAAATCCAGAGTATTTTCTTTGCCTTTTTGACTAAGTCTAATAAATGAAGTAGAAAGACAGGTAGTCTATAATTAGAGTACTTAACAATGAAATCTGAATGGATTCTGCTTCTGTTGAGTGCTGGGGTTGGAGCTGAGGCCCTTGTGCATGTGTACCCTTATCACTATTATTTTTATTATTATCTCAATTTAGTCAGTGAATAATGTTAATCTGACAGTTTATGGCGCTTCATAATTTGGATCTCAATTTAGGTTTCCTCGTTTCTTTATGTGGTAGACTTACTCTTCAGTGAAACTTCATGACAGAGTACTTAAATCGTTTTACTAAGGCTCTGTGGAGAATCTGAGGTGAAGCACATTGCCTCCCAACAAGCAACCCAGCCCCGTTCCGTAAATGGAGGGGTGGATGCTCTGAGGTGCTGTCTGTCTTTGCTACTTTGCTTCTCTTGCGGGTTATAGAGCCTTCCCAGGTCTCTATGCTCCCTTTACTTGTCTTTTGTATCTGTATTACCTAATTTCGTCTCTTTTAAACTTTCTGATGCAAAAATTCCAAGAAAACCTAAGTCGTTTTCATTTCTATTTAATTATTTATTTATTACTTTTTTGCCAGTCTAGGGTCTTGAACTTTCGGCCTGTGCACTCTCCTTGAGTTTTTGTACTCAAGGCTAGCACTTCTGGCTTTTTGTGGTAGAGATAAGAACCTCACAGATTTTCCTGCCTGGGTTAGCTTCAAACCATGATCCTCAGATCTCAGCCTCCTGAGTACTAGGATTACAGGTGTGAGCCTGGTGTTACCTGGTTTAATTTTACTTTTTAACAAAAAGAAAGATGTAAGGGACCGTAATTTCATTCCACTTCAGTTGCCAAGAAGCTCACAAACTAATGAATAGGCATTATATAGTGCTATCTTTTCTCTTGATTTTGTTTTGTTCTAATGTTTGCTTTCAAAAGCTGCTTCATACATTTTCTAGTGAAGTAAGATTTGTAGTAGCTAATTCTATTTAAATTACCTGCACCCACTTACACAAATTTGATTTATCTAATTCTTTGTACAAATGATAAAAGCTCAGAGTTTTCTTAACAAATAAAAAGAATTGCACTTTTTTTAGTTTGAGGAAAAAAACCTAAAAAGTGATGCACATCTCATAATATGTATAACACAAATTATACTTTATATAATATATTTTTATTTTTATCTGCAGGGTGGGAAAGCCATTGAGTTTTGCATAGCTCGTTGGTGGGCAAGTCTCAGTGATGTCAATATTGACTATACCATTTCTTTCCATGGCATAGTGTGTACTGCTCCTCAGTTAAACATTGTAAGTTGTACAATATTGTACTTTTTGCTGCCATTTATGTACTGTGAAAAAAGAATTGCATTGTTGAGGTTTTACCTTTAATAGAGACCCTGGAAATACATAGTATCTATGAATGAAGATGACAAAACAAAATGCACTGAAAGCTGTTAATCATGAGAATGACAAGGAAAGTATGACTGGGAAGACCTTGATCTGATTAAAGTATTGTGTACTTGAGTGAATAGTTGAGATGCACTTTAAAACAAGAATGACAGACATGTAAAACAGGTCCTGTCTGAGGGGAGAGTCCTGTCTGGGAGAGGGAGCAGGAGAGGCAAACAGAAGGCGAAGGAGAGCGAGTATAGTTGAAGCACTTTATGTATATCTGTGAAACTGGAACAGTGAAACTTACTAAGTTAGGAGTGTAGGGTGAGTCTGATCAAGGTACATGGTATGCATATATGGACATGTCAGAATTAAAACCACTTGTGCAACACATGGATATAATTTTAAAAAATGGGGCAAACTATATTAAATAATGTTCATTTTAGATTCTATTTTCTATTGAAGTGTGAGGAAATAACTTGTTAAATATCCTTCGTAGCATGCATCAGAAGGAATCAATCGTTTTGATGTTCAATCCTCCTTGAAATATGAAGATCTGGCTCCCTGCATAACTTTGAAGAGCTGGGTCCAGACACTACGGTATTGTTCTTTGTTTTAAAAGCTACAGATACTGTGTGTTAATGAGAGTGATTGAATTCTTGCAGGTCTCTTGAGAGGCAGCCTGGCCCTGTCTCTGGCCTTGCTCCTCACCTGCCTGGCAAAGTTCAGGGCAGAAAATAGCCGTCCCCAAAATGGCTATTTAGGATCAATTGTCAGTAGCCTTTTTGTTTGTTTCTTTTCTTTTTCTTTCTTTTCTTTGCTCCTTTCCTTTCCTTTTTCCTTTCCTTTTTCCTTCCCTTTCACTCCCTCCCTCTCCCTCCCTCCCTCCCTCTCTTCCTTCCTTCCTTCCTTCTTCCCTTCCCTCCCTCCCTTTCTCCCTCCCTTCTTCCCTCCCTCCTTCCCTTTCTCCCTCCCTCCCTCCATTTCTTCTCCCTTCTTCCCTCCCTCCCTCCCTCCCTCTCTTCCTTCCTTTCTTCTCCTTCCTCCCTCCCTCCCTTTCTCCTTCCTTCCTTCCTTCCCTCCATTTTCTTCTCCTTCCTCCCTCCCTCTCTTCCTTCTTTTCTTCTTCCTTCCTCCCTCCCTTTCTCCTTCCTTCCTTCCTTCCTTTCTCCCTTCCCTTCCTCTCTTTCTCTCTTCCTCCCTCCCTCCCTTTCGCCTGCCTGCCTGCCTGCCTGCCTGCCTGCCTTCCTTCCTTCCTTCCTTCCTTCCTTCCTTCCTTTCTCTTTCTCTTTCTCTTTCTCTCTTCCATTCTCTCTTTCTGTCTGTCTTTAAGGGGCTTGAACTCAGGGCCTGGGCACTGTCTCTGAGCTTTTTCGCTTGAGGCTAGTACTCTACTACTTTGGGCCACAGAGCCACTTTCTGGCTTTTTTGGTGACTTAATTGGAGATAAGAGTCTCATAGACTTTCCTGCCCAGGCTGGCTTTGAACTGTGATCCTCAGGTCTCAGCGTCCTGAGCTAGGGTTACAGGCGTGAGCCTCAGCGCCCGGCAGCCTTTTCATTCCTTGACATGAAATAACAAGTTTAGCTTCTCTGATTTTATTTTGTGAATCTTTTGCCAGACAGTTTCAGAAATTGCAGTAGTGCCTAGTCTTACTGAATGGGAGAAACTCAAGTAGTATACTGTTAGTGCCCAGCAGTTCCTGTTATGAACACAGGGCACCTGCCTTGTGTTTTCACATTCATTCTTCTAGTTTGAGTTCTCCTTTTTAAAAAATCTGTAGTTTGCCAGGCACCGGTAGGTCATGCCTGTAATTCTAGTTACTCAGGAGGTTGAGATCTGAGGATTGAGGTTCAAAGCCAGCCCGGGCAGGAAAGTCCAGTAAACCACCAGAAAACCAGAAGTGGCGTTGTAGCTCAAGTGGTGGTAGAGTGCTCGCCTTGAGCTGAAGAGCTGAGGGACAGCACTCAGGGCCAGAGTTCAAGGCCCATGACCCACCCCCACCCCCAAAAATCTGTAGTTTAATAATTTGCTTTAGCAAACACTGAAAAGGTTAAGTGCTGAGTCAGGACAACTGGGCATCAGCCTAGCATTTGGAGAACAGCAACAGTGCTGGTTGTGACCTGACTCATGTCTGTATTAAGACATGTTGGGAATGGAGGATACAAATCAAAATGTACCTTCTATGTTTTTGGTGACTATCACCCTAGTATTAGGTTCTGGTTATTGTAAGAGCTGTTTACAGTGTTTGGATCATGAAGCTTATCTTTGCAAGTTTTTCATCCTTTTGCAAAATTTTAGACAATATGCAAGGAAGGAAAATTACTTGCTGGTTATTAAAATACTAAGTATACTTAACAGGTTTTCAGAAATGTTGATATGTCACTTTTTGTAGTATGTTACAGATCTTGTTGCTTAGAATTTTAAGTCTCATTAAACGGATTTTTGAATCAAATCAACTATGCAATTGCCTTCTTATAGCCCAGTAAGTGCAAAAACAAAACCTTTAGGAACAAGAGATGTCTTGCCAAATAATCGTCAACTTTATGAGATGGTCCTGACTTACAACTTTCATCAGGTATGTATTTGCCTAATAAAGTATGACCATACAGTGAATGTTGTGTTTTATGAATAATCAAAAGTAGAAGGATATAATATATCTATGAAATAAAATCGAGTTATTAATCCTCACTAATTAGAATTATTCTCACGTAACTATGATTGCTAATTCAGTATCATTCAGATGTGACATCCGTGTGGTTTAGTGGTGAGCTGGCCTTGAGCCTCCAATTTTATAATCAGTGGTACACATCCACCACTGAGCAGGAGTGATGAGATGACTCAGAGATGCCACATCCCTTCTGATTATGATCCTAAGCCTGATTACTCTTGCTCCTTGTAGAATGAGCAATTAAAGTAATTGAAATTAAGGTACCCAAATATTGGAACCAAAGAGTTTTTTTTTTAAGGATCTGTGAGCATTCAATAAAACAATTGAAGTACAATATGGATTTGCTTTTAATGTTAAGGAGATAAGAGATTTCAGTGAACTTGTTACATTTCAGTTTTATAAAGTAGGTATTCAATAACATATATTGCTTTGTTAATATAAAGCTATTATATATAGCTTGGCTTGTATCTTTAAAGTTTCTAAAAGATAAAGTGCATTTAATTAGTGCCAAAATTGATGTTCTTCATTTAAAAACATTTTACAAGACAATATTTTGAATGCTTTATAACAAAAAACCTTATGCCTATCATCAGGTTAATCTATATTAGAAATCATACACAAACACATCAATAATCAATTTTACTGTTTTATAGCCCAAGAGTGGAGAAGTAACTCCAAGTTGCCCACTTCTTTGTGAATTGTTATATGAATCAGAATTTGACAGCCAACTATGGATTATTTTTGACCAGAACAAAAGGCAAATGGGTTCAGGCGATGCCTATCCACATCAGGTATAAAATTTGCAGTGAAATTTTTGAATTAACGGAAACCTATTTCATGAACTGATTAATTCTTGATCTCTTATTCTGATAAAATATTCATATTTTCAAAAGATTATAATGTTTCATTTAGTACTTTTACAAGCTATAAGACACTCTCTTGTTGTAGTTATTGAGTAGCAGACTGATAAGGTTTCATCATGTAGTGGAAGACAGAACAGTGCTTCCAAGACACCAACAAGCATAGCTTTGACTGTATGTGTGTGCACACACACACACACACACACACACTTATGTGCTGAGGATTAAACCCAAGGCCTTGAACATCTTAAGCATGTACTCTACTTTTGAGCAGCACTACGAGCTCAGCATGGATGTTTGTTGTTGTTCTACCTGTCTGCAGGTAGTGGGAAATCCTCTGACATATATTAGCACCTTGACTCCATCTCAGGGCCGAGTGGGATAAAGCATGTAGTAAGTGCTCATTGTTGAACACTGTATTGAACACCTCTTTTGGGCTGTTAGATTGAAGGAGAAAAGGTCTTTTAATTATGTAACTTAGGGAGATTTAACCCATGATTGAAATTTTATGTGAAAAAATGAGCCTAGCATTAATTCATGGAGTTTTTTTCAGTTAGTCCTTCAAGGAATGATAATACCTTTTTCCTCAAGGCAAGCAGCAGTTTTATCAGTGTAGTGCATTACTATAGTGTCATTACTTTGATACTTTTTAAACCTTCTCAGAAAAAAACTAATACAAAATGCAGCATCTGACTTCATAAGCATAGAAAAGCAAAGTAGCTTTTTTTTGGGGGGTGGTGGAGAGGGGTCCAGTCGTGGGGCCTGAACTCTGGGCCTGGGTGCTGTCCCTCAGCTCTGCTCAAGGCTAGCGCTCTACCACTTGAGCCACAGCACCACTTCCGGCTTTTTTCTTTGTGCTTATGTGGTGCTGAGGAATCGAACCCAGGGTCTCATGCATGTAAGGCAAGCGCTCTATCACTGAGCCACCTTCCCAGCCCAGCAAAGTAGCTTTTACTCATTGATCTTTATTAGTTTTGTTTTTCCTGTTTGCATTAAAGGAATGATCTTTTGATTATAAGGTAACGATTACCAGAGAACAACATGGATCAACATATGTTTTTGTTGTGGATATTATACAGTCCTTCTGAGAGCCTATGAACAAAAAGTCATTGTTAGTTGGAACAGACACTAACTACATAGTGAATACATGAGAATATTTTGTTGTGGGCAAAAGGAGGGCTTTAGTGGATTCAGACCTGACCTCAACTCCCTCGTACTTTACTCTCTGTGTCCTTGGGCACGGCACTTGGTGTCCCTGATCTGGCTGCCCTCCAGGACACTAGGCACCTAGTATGTAGAAACGTGTCTGAGGAGTGGCGCCCTGTCCCTCACACCCTGTCTGCACTCTGCAAATGGAATTGTTCCCCTTTTTCCCCTTCCAGTGCACTTGGCTAAACTTACATTTCCCAAATGTTGTCTTTCTTTTTTAGTATTCTTTGAAATTGGAGAAAGGAGATTATACAATTCGACTACAGATTCGTCATGAGCAAATCAGTGATTTGGAGCGTCTTAAAGATCTTCCATTTATTGTTTCTCATAGGTTGTCTAATACCTTGAGCTTAGATATTCATGAAAATCATAGCCTTGCACTTCTAGGAAAGAAGAAAGCAAACAATTTGACATTGCCACCTAAATATAACCAGCCATTCTTTGTTACTTCCTTACCTGATGATAAGTAAGTGATGACATTACTGATATAGAATACCTATTTTACATACTGTCTTCTTTATTGTGAACTAATTAGATCAGATTTACAGTATGCTGTCATTAATCATTTGAAGTTATTCCTCCATTTGATTTTGAAATCTTAGCTGTGAGGATTATTTCAGTTTGCAATTGTGATGTTTTCCCTTAATTATCTTTGTGAAACTTTCTCTTGTTGCTTTTTTTTCTTCTTTAATTCTCTTATTAGAGTACCTAAAGGGGCGGGACCTGGATGCTACCTTGCAGGATCCTTAACATTATCAAAGACTGAACTTGGCAAGAAAGCTGTAAGTATTACGTATTTTACACAGAAAGTACTCATTCCAAAATTTCTGTTTGTTTAAAAATGTTTCAGAATGGCCAGATGAAGCTATTCCTAGGTGTAGAGAGACAATTGTAATTGGTTTGGTTTTCCCTTGAGTTACTGGTGAGGTAAATTTATACTTGGGCTGCCTTTTAAAATGTGTTGTGGTTTTAAAATACTAGTTGTTTTTACAAGCCTACATGTTTATGCCCTGAACCCATATACCTCAGTGGCTGATGTGCTTGAGCTTCTTAAGAAATAAGTAGATCCAGATCATTCTTGGCTTAAGTAAGTGAGATATTTAAAATTAGAGCAGACAATAGAATTTTGACCAAAGTAGTAGTATAGTTAGGGGAAAAAAATCAGATTCTCTTGAGTTGTTTCTAAAACCCAATCAGAACAACTGTTACTAATGAACATTTTTCACATTTGTACATACTTTCCTCTTACTGGAATCTTGCATAATTATATAAGTATGAGGTATTTCTTTTGACGTTGCCTTTAAAAATTTTGAAATTGTTTTTTTATCAGAAACATTTTTCTAATTTTAAATTTATAGAAGTAAATGTTACAACTTTATTGGTATAACTTTTTTCCATCTGTGTTTTCATTGTAAATTCATTATGAGAACAGTCTTTACATAGCTGTCGCTTTTTGTTATAGTATCCCAGCTCAGTACCATTGTCATTCTTATAGTTTTGCATTTCTCCTTAGCATCATAAAAAGTTAAGTGAATCTACTTCATAATGCTGGAATCTATAAGTGCTATTAGCAAAATGAGTTGAGCTCATACATCCTGAAAATTACAATTTACACTGTTGAACCAATCATCTGTTAAAGCATAATGTTGAAGCATAATTTGGGGATTTTCTCTTAGGAAAATTGTTTCTATTGATGTTTCTTAGATCTCATTTCAGTTTAAACTTAAATGTTTTAGTGTAATTTGAAGTAAATCAATAGTTAATACTGGACACATACATGATTTTAGAAATCCTGGTGGTCTTTTTTTTTTTTAGATTTATTTCATAGAAAGTATAGCTATGAGGCTTCAGTTGTGAATTTTCACTCAGATGACTTAAGAATTCACTCCTTTGAAAAGTTTTAGCAGAAACTGCTAAAATGCTTTTAGCAGTGCAGAAAAAGTGCTTCCTGGCTGCATTGTTTGAGAGACAGTTGTGACATTAAAGTACTTACGTGTGTGGGATTGACTGTCGTTAGAAAGGTAGACATTTTAAGAAGAAAGCAATAATGTTAAGCACTTGAATTAACAGTTTCCATTGTATGGTTTAGTCTGTCCTCAGTAGTTTTATACTACTTACATTTTTGATAGTAATATTAATTTTACTTCTCTTGGACTTTTACAATAACCCTGTTTCTTATGCATAGGGCTCCTGTGATGGTTGTAAAATTCTGTGAAGTCAGACTCTGCAGACTGTCAGCTTAATTTAATGCTTTTAAAATGTTTTCATAATTAATGGAGTTTGGTCACTAAATATTTGAATACATTTTTGTTTTAAATAAATGTGGCAATGTTGCTTTATATAAAAACATGCCATATTAATCACAGACCTGACCATTCTGTAGATTGGAGGAAAGTTAGACAGAGGTGGTGTCTCCATCCTGTGTAGATTGTGCATGTTTTCTTACAGAATGTCGTTCTAACTCCCAGGGCCAGTCTGCAGCAAAACGACAAGGAAAATTTAAAAAGGTACTGATTGTCAGTTTTTAAGAACCATGTCTTAAAGCCTTATTTACATAATAAACTTTTTCTGTCACTATTATAAATCTTTAAAAGAAAAAAAAACCCAAACTTTCCCTTAGTTCCTTTCTTTATGTTCTATAGTATAGTGCTATTAGCTATACCTACTAGATTTTCTCAAAGTTTTTTCAACCATAAATTGATGGAAGACCCCTGTTTTTCCTGTGTTATATAGAAAAAATTTAATGCACTCATTTCTTGCTCCAGATACAATATTAAGTAATAAATTTCGAAACTTTTAATATCTGTCTATAGTCCTATAAAGAGAACTATGTGATAACTTAGTCACAGAGGCAAAAGCAGTTAAAAATCTGAAAATATTTTTAAATTAGATTATTAATAAAATATTTTATCCTTTTGAAGGAAAGCTTATTCCCTGCTCTTTTATATGTACAAGTTCTGGGAAGGCAGAGATAATAGAGAGAGAGAGCATTAGAGAGATAGCAAGCACAGTGATTAAAACCTGCTGCCCAAGAGCACAGAGTTTAGAACTGTGGTGGGCTGCCTGAATTCCTTGCAGCTTTTTTATACAATCTTTATTGACCGCTAGCCAAATTTAACTCAAAACAGAAAATTGATACTTTAAGTTTATTGAAGAGGAAGGGACACATATTTCAGGAGACTCAATGGCTTTCTGGTGAGGACCTGCTGACATCATTTAGCATTTCAGTGATTTCTTCAAAAAATGTTTCAGTAAGAAATATAAACACATGGTTTTTGTTGTTGTTTGTTTTTTGTCAGTCATGAGGCTTGAACTCAGGACCTGGGCACTGTCCCTGATTTTGCTCAAGACTGGCATTCTGCCACTTTGAGCCACAATGGTTAATTGGGTCTCATGGGGACTTCTCTTCTCAAGCTGGCTTCAAACCACAGTCCTCAGATCAGCCTCCTAAATAGCTAGGATTACCGATGTGAGCCGCAGGCGCCCAGCCTAATGTTTCTTGATTTATAGTGATAATCCACTGGGAATGCCATTTTATAATAAGTAAAATGTATTTTATAACAAGCAAAATGTCTACCTTACTGCGTATTGATAAGCACTTTCCACAAACAAAATATACCACTAGGAATCATCTTCCCAGATAAAGGACTAACGATGAGTATTTCTCAACTGGAGGTTTTGACCCAATGCAGCCATGAAAACTCATTGAATGGGACAGTCACATTCAGAAAACTGTATCTTATATTAGTATCCATGTATTAGCATCTTTTCTCTAGTGTGAAAGTAGTTTGAAAGTCACCAATTGGGAGAAAAGGGTAACAGTATTCTAGGAACTCATTAAAAAATTTCCTCCTGTAGTTTTGCTGAATTTTGTTTGGATTATGTTGTGTGAGTTAGGAAAGGGGTGAATGAAGAAGGTTATTGTAATTTATGGTTAGTAAAGCTTTATATAAAGAACTCAGCAACTATAGTTACCTTTACTGTCTGGTGGCTAGAATTGCCTCTGCCCATTCCTTCCTACCTTTTGGGCAAGTGCACAAAAGCTGTTAAAGAATAAAACAGGGTGGGCAAGTTACAAAATATATGCAAATATATATATATATATAATTGAAAAAAGTTACTTTTGACAGATAAGTAGCACTCAAATATGGTATTGTTGATATAGTTTAGTTTGTATAAAATTTAAATTTTTGAATTTACAGTTACTAATAACAAAAACTAAGAAAATTGTAGTTTTTGAGCCAGAATGCAAATGATGATGCATTGTGCTTTCCAAAGAGTTTTTACTGGTTGAGTGGGTGAGTTTAACTTTCTAAATAATATGGTTCAGTTTGAACACTTTCAAAATACTTTGTGAGTAGCTAGTAAGTTTTCAACTTACTGCTAAGTATCTACTATAAACAACTTTTTATAGCTTTTCTACACTAAAGATTATCTCTTAAACTTTCTTTCTAAACCACAATCAGGATTTTTCCAGCTTTAAGATATAGATGATTTCATGAAACTGACCCTGCAAAGTGAACAGAAAAAATACCTGTTGAAGAAAGAGCATAAAGTTATGATATTGCAACTGAAAGCCACTACTCCATTTTTTTCTTTTTACACTACTGGGGATTGAACTCATGGCCTCATGCTATGGGCAGACATTTTACCATTTGAGCCATGACCTCAGTTTCATTTTTCTTTTGATCAAGACTTAAATTTTTTAATAATAAAGATTTAAATTTTTAATAATAATAAATTCTTTTCCTGAAATACTCTATAAGATTGTAATAACATTTGCAGTTGTTTTAATTATAAGAACTTGAATTTTTTCTAAGATAATTCGTCATAATCTTCTCTTCTGTCTTATTGATAGTTTAAGCTTGCCATGATAGGATCTCTATTTTTCAGAATTTTCATTAAAATAAATTAATTGTACAGAGATTGTATTGAAACATTTTTATACATGTATGGAATGTACTTTGGTAAGATTCACCCCATCTTTATTATCTTCCTGTTTCTGTAGGTCTTTGTTAGTTGTAAAATCAATTCTATTTTCTGTCTCTGTATTAAAACAATAATAGCCAATGCCTTACCTTTGACAGTAAGGAGAGAATTGCCTCAGCACATAGACTTCCTAGCCTGGGAAACTAAGGAAAGGCACATTGCCGTTAGAATGAATGGAGACTGCCAGGCAAGTGTCATTCACATTCTAACATGCTAGGTAATGGACAGTCCCATTCCAAAGGGAGCAGCACTGTGTTCGTAGGAAGTAAATAACGGAGGCCACTTAGACCTATACTTTCTAGGTAGTTGCCTGTGCTTAACACATGACAGTGAAGCAGTCTGTTGTAGAAAGAATTGGTTGTAAGTTAGAGCCTTGTGTTGAGGCACCTTTGATTTTGCTCAGGGCAGTCCCCCCAGGAGAGTGATCTTCAAGGAGAGGGAAAGGACAGATGGCAAAGTCCTGAAAGAATAAGCCCAAGCAGTTAAGCTGTTGCACCAGCAGTGTGTCTCATGGAAGTTTCTGGTGGCAGGCTCAGGCTCCGGGCTGGTGGGGGAGGGGCAGTATGCCATGGGCTGTGTATGGGTTTGGATGGATAGTGCATAGCAAAGTGAATTTTTATGTTTTAATGATCATGAAGAGATAATACATGTTTGTGGTGAAACCTTATCCCTCTTATTTACTACTATGTCATTTGAAAACCCAAAATTTATTTTGAGGATGTTGATAACATGGATATATTGATTCATACCTGAAAATTGCCATGTGGGGGAGTCAGGTGTGGCAGTGCTACCCTGGACTGAACTTCAGTGAGACGTTATTCTGGCACACTGTTGAAGGCAGTGACTGTCTTTTTGGTAAAGTAATTTGTTCCAGTTTAGAAACTTGGTTAATTAAAAGGAATATAAGATTTTTAAATAAAAACCTAAATATGGAATTTGAGGAAACTGACTTAATATTATGTTTTAAGGACAGCCAGTCATTGTGACAAAACAAATCTAACAAGTCTTAATGTGATTTCATTTCCAAATATTGCACCATATTTTGTATATTTTTCCCATACTCCCATCAAACCCTCCTTACTATGGCTAGTATTCATGTTCCAAGTTTGGGATTTTTCACTTCTTCATCTTCAATAGCAGACACCCACTCTGTACCAGATAGGCTCCTTCCTCTGTTGAGTTAGATAATTCAAGTTTATTTATAAACATTACTATCTAAGTTCCTTTACCTTTCTGTAACCACTTTGCATTGGTTCCTGTACTTTACCTCAGAGTCATTCTCTATCCTTTTCTTATGTTTTATTTTCTTCATGTCATATATGTAACTAACCATGTAACGAACATGTACGTTTGTCTCACTTCTTCAGTTAGAATAGTGTTTGTGAGGGTGGAGAGGCCTTGTCTGCCCTGTTCTCCTGCCTGTGGGGAGCACAGCAACTCCTATCAACTCCACAAAGTAATAAACTACCCCTCAAGTTTATCTAAAACCAGAATGCTTGCTCGTTTAGTTTTTAGTTTATCTTCTCTCACTCCTGCTCAGATTTAAAAGTAGATTCAATGAAATTGTGTCAGTCTGCCCAGTAAAACTTAAGAATACTAAATTCACTCAAATGGAGTGTATTTACAGTCAAATTTGTTCTCCTCTCCTTTATTTAAAGGAGCTATTTAGAAAGCATCAGTACGTTAGGAGAAAACTACAATGACTTTTATTTACTGGTTGGTTTTATTTCATGAACTCTGAATCTGGAATGCAATGTAACACATGAGACTCAGCCCCTGTTACATGATGTTCAGCTGTTGAAGATGATTTTAAAGTAAATTTAAGTATTTCTTCTCACATTCTGTAGGATGTAATCCCTGTTCATTACTACCTAATACCTCCACCAACGAAGACTAAGAATGGCAGCAAAGACAAAGACAAAGACTCAGAAAAAGAGAAAGATTTGAAAGAAGAGTTTACTGAAGCATTACGAGATCTTAAAATTCAGTGGATGACAAAGTAGGTTTCTGAGTGCATTTTAACCTTCTGAATCCTTAGTATCATTTTCTCAGCTATGGTAATATTGTGCACATACGCATAGACTATATTCAAAGTTATTAATAGTAGATGGCAAGATCACAGGTGTTTTGAATTATTCTTATTCCCTTTTCTGATTGTAAGAAAATAATTTACAATTTTATTTTTATCCAATTCTAATTTGCTTCTGATGAAACTTTTATTGCAGAATTATGCAAAAGAAAAAAAGCTTCCTGACACTGCAAACATTTTTTTCCTGAATTTTTTGCATATGTACCTGAATGATACGTCATAGTCTACTTATTGAGGTCTGAGCATATCATATCTTGCAGTTTACATGGTAATGATAAATGGCCATGCTCCACTGGCTTCTGTCCTGTCTTGTGAAGCAGGTGGAATGTATATCAGGACCTTCCTCTTCCTGTGCAAGACTACTGCTTTAGCCATATGAGAGGAACTGATAAAACAAAAAGATGTTAAAACAATAAAAGGGAAAATATCAAATCAATCCAACTAGATCAACAAAAAAATGAAATTAAGAAAATAAGTCCACAAAAATAAAATCCCAAAGAAAATACATAGGAATAAAATTAAATCCAAATATGTGACACACTCAACTACAAAACATTATTGAAAGAAATTAAAAGAGGGCCAAATAATGGAAAAAATACCCTATTTTCATGGGCTTAATTGTATTATAGCACTTTCCCATCAGAGTCCTTTCAGACTTCCATATAAATATTAACATTGGTTTTTCAATTCATATGGAATGACATAGGTCCAAAGTAGCCAAACCATCTCGAAAAAAACAAAGTTGGACTCAAAATCCTGATCTCAAAATTACTAAGAACAGTAAACAAGACAATATTGTACTGCAAAGGGCAATGAATATAGATGAATGAAACAGTACGAGTCTACAAAGAAAACTTGTCTGGTCAGCTGACTTTTGACAAGGGTGTCAAGGCCAAGACCTTCATCCAATGAGGAAAAAGTAGTAAAGGGTTGGGCTGAAACTACCTGGCCATAGAAAAAGAATGGAAGTTAGAACCTGCCTTATACAGTCTACACAGATTAACTCAAAATGTATCGAAGGGCTAATTTTAACAACTAAATTGTATCATAGTAGTACATACTGGTTTATTATTTTGGATGCATTCTTAGTTCTGAAATTAAAAGTACGAGTACAATGAAAAGTAACTTGGACTTCTCAAAATTAAAGAACTTCTGTGCTTCACAGTATGGCATCATTCCTATAATCCTAGTTACTTGGGAGGCTGAGATTGGTAGTCTCACCATGGAAGGCCAGCAAGCAGAAAAGTCTGAAAGACTCCATTTCAGTGGAAGAGGAGCCTAAAAGATAGATTGTAATTAGGCATACACCCAAACTAGAAGCATGACATGATCTCAAAATAATCAGACAGAAATCTCATAGAATTCACAAACTATAGACCATGATAATGACAGATTGCTCTGTGAAGGTTAAAATGTGTTTGTGACTTTGTATCACTATTCCACAATACTGTGAAGTATGTAAAATGTATGTAATCACCTAATCTCAATAAAAAATAATTTGAAAAAAATAATCAGATAGATGAGGACTAGAGGTATAGCTCAGCAGTAGAATTACTAAACCTACCTACCAATGTAGGAGTTCAAAACTACAGTTTTAAAAAAAATGTTATAACTGTAATTGCAAGGTAATGGCTCAGCTTTTTTAAATGGGCAAAGAATCTAAGTAGACATCTGTTAAAGGAGGCTACAGTCCGCTTGTAAACATATGGAAAGGTGGTCAACATCCTTGATCCTTAGGACCACTGTCTAAAACCACAGGGAAATACTGCTTTATACCCAAAGTGAAGTGATAGCCAGTTATGGCAAGTGTTTGGAGAAAGCAGAAATCGCAGGCACTGCTGGTGGGAATATCAAATGTTGGAACTTCTTTCGAAAGCCATTTTCTCTAGAAATTGCATTCCCAGTATGTGCAGAAGAAAATGCATTTAAACAAACTTATATGTGAATGCTTGCCCACAGCATTATTCGTACAATGGCCAACAAGGTAGAGACCAAATGTTCATCAGCTGAAGAGTAATAACCGAAATGTAGTATATTCACATGCCAAAATAGCATTCTCCATAATTAAGCTGCAGTAAATTTAAATATAAAAGGGCTGGGTTTGTTTTTTTTATAATTATTGAAAGGGGAAAAAGAAAAACAGTTTCAATTATTCTTTTTGTGCCAGTCCTGGGCTTTTGAACACTGTCCCTCAGATTTTGGACAAGGCTAGTGCTCTACCACTTGAGCCACAGCTCCACTTCTGGTTTTTTGGTGATGAGTTGGAGATAAGATTCTCACAGGCTTACCTGCCTCCAGTTGGCTTTGAACAGAGATCTTCAGATCTCTGCCTCCTGAGTAGCTAAGATTACAGGCACGAGCTACTGGTTCCTAGCTTGAATGTAGTATGAACTAGTGTGCATAGTTGCGTGGATTCAGTTTTCTTGTTTCTGTAACTGTTTTTCATCATGTTTCTGCCAATTTGGTTATTTTAAGTGAATTTGCCATCAGTGCCCTTTCTTTGTAGTTATTTACTGTTTGGATATTCATTTTAATTGTTTTTACCCTAAAGTGTACAGTGCAGAAGAATGGACATGGTTTTCTTCAGCTTCCCTACTGACGAACAGGATAGTCTCTTCATTCAGCACTTTAGAATTTTCCTCATGTAGATATTGTGTATTTTCTTCCTTTTTAATAGAAACATGATCTCATTTTTAGTATATCTAGTAATAGTTGTTAAGCTGCATACTTGCCTGTTTTCTAGGATTTGTAATTGAAATAGTTTGATTTGGTTTTCTTAGTGTTCTGGGTATGCATGCCAGGAGTGCTAATGTTCATCAGTGAATATATTTACATTCTGAAATCATTGCCTTATTTTTATTGACTGGAGCTTCTAAACATGGATAAACAGTTTCTGTTGGAAAACTCTTTTTTAAAGAAAATAGTGAATATTTCTCTCTTACATGCTCAGGCTGGATTCTAGTGACATTTATAATGAACTGAAAGAAACATACCCTTCTTACCTTCCTCTGTACGTCGCACGGCTTCATCAGTTGGATGCTGAAAAGGTTAGATGTGTTTACTTCTTTCATAAATCTTTGTTTATAATGTTTATATTAGGAAAGTGCCAACCATAGTCACTTAAAGGTCATGTACAGGGTTTTGCCTGTTGAAAGGGGATCTTAAAAGACTTGCAGGAACTAGCTGTTGAGGACACCATGATCTAATTAGTTAGACTCTTGATCGTAATCTTGTTTGTTTTATCTTTTCTTTTTCCTGAATGGTAGAGCATTTGTTTCATCAGCTGAGCTGGATTGGGTGGGGGGTTGGAGCTATTGTTCATTGGTGTCTTCTTGTGGAATGGAATACTACAGCCAATCACATTTCTGGAGTCTTCACAAGGAGTTAAGCAGGAGATGTCAGTTAGATGTTTTCATCATTTGAGCTCAAGTTTCTAAAAATGCTAGCACGTGCAGTGCTTGCGTGGGGAGATAGTGTGGAGGGGGCGACTGACCTCATTCTGCAGCTAACCACAGATGTGAAATGCCGTAGTATCTTCATTTCTTTTCCCTTTTTGTTTCCTTTTTTCCTTCCCAGGAACGAATGAAAAGACTGACTGAAATTGTTGAAGCTGCAAATGCTGTTATTTCTCATATAGACCAAACAGCCTTAGCGGTTTATATTGCAATGAAGACTGACCCCAGGCCTGATGCAGCTATTATAAAAAAGTACCTAACCAGTAAATAATCTTCCTTGCATCTCATTTCTTAGTTACTTGTTAAAAATGAGGGACTGTCTTTTACTGTTGTTATTGTGTTCTTTTTAGAATCTTCCAAATCGGGATTATCAATAGTTGGTAACTTCATCTTAGAAAGTTTATACTAATTTTCTTAAATTCTTTAAGATTCAGCCCAGGAAAGTACGTTGCTTTCTCTACCGTTAGGTATTTATTGGTGAGGTAGAAGAGAAAGCAAAACAAGTTGGTCCTCCAAGGCTAAGGCTGGGATGAGGAGTTTTGGTTGTAAGATTCCTGATCCCTTTAAAACCAGGCCTGAAGGTTATGTTTCAGTAAGATCTGAGGAGGAGCAGATTAATGTAAGGGTAGGGTGTGGTTAAATGGCCAAGTGGCATGGCCTCTGGTACTTAGGAAGAAAGAACATCCCTTCCTCTGTTGGTCCAGCCAAATGTGTGAGATACCTGCTTGCCTGGCTTCTGGGCAGATGAGTCTTCCCAAGAGAGAAAAAATGAGCAAGCACTGGAGGATAGGAGAAAAATACCACCAATATCATGGCTTCCTGGCCCAGGCTGGCAGCCAGAAGGCAGTGCCTGGGCCGGGGCGATGGGGGAGGGGAGGCTGGTCCTCCGTGAAGGACCCTTCCCCAGCCAAGTGACTGGGGAGCATCTACGCCAAGCAGCCCTTTGGAGTCGGTAAGGTCAGCTGGACACTTGTTTATGAAACTTCTGATTTGTGAATGTTAGCAGTGGAACAGACAGCACACAAAGGGGCAAAGAGAACTTTGAAAGTATCGTGCGTGAACTCTCAGTGACTTGACAAGAATGGTTTCATCTCCCTTGCAAATTTGTTAAAGCTGGGAATGGCCTCTTAGATGAAATCACAGAATCAAAGTGTCTTGGAACCTGTGAGAATGTTCCCTGGTCTTAGGCAGTGTATTAGCCACAGATTTTCCCCTACTTGGGTTTCCTGTGGATAAGCTCATGGAGAAGCCCAGCCCCCCAGTCGCTGGGCTGTCATTGCCAGCCCCCGCAGGGCACAGGATGCACACTTAGCTCCCGATCCTTGAGACTCACTCCCGCTCCGTCATCACTCAGCCCTTCTGGCCTCAGGCAGCAGACATGAGTGGACAGAAAGTCTCAAGTAAACATCTGTTAGACTGATACCTTCTTGTGGAGTGAAGCTGTGACTGTTTCAACAATGATTGTCTTGTCTGTACCAGGCAGGGTCCTGGGCACTTGGAATGCATGGAGGCATTCTTTGCCTGGAAAGGTGCTAGAAGCACAGATTTCAGAACTGCTTGCTAAATTTAGAGTTTCTAATGGGAGGACTGTGGCCAAATCTGTAACCTCCCATTTTCTTTGCAAAATGCAGGTAGTTCTTAATTTCTTACTCATAGGATTGTTTTGAGTGTAAATGAATTAAAATGCTAAAATGCTAAGATAGTTACTGGCACATTTAGAGAAAGCATTTTGTTTGTTACTCTGGTTATATATAAAATCATGTTCATGACTAGAAGAGCCTCTCCATTTGTACACATACCTGGTATTTGTAAGAAATCCATAGATTTAAAAAGTAACTGCTCTGGTTAAGGGTTACATAGCTGACAGAAATTAGAATCAATGTTTCAACCTTGTTGCTTATGGCATTTTGTTTCAATTATTGCTAACTTTTAACCTCTGTGTTCAGTATAGTGGTTCATTTTTTTATTAATAAGCAATCTTGTTTGATGTACATGGGTATACCAAATATTTGCATTATAGGTTAGGCCACAAAAAAATCCTGCATTCATTTAATTTCAGATCTGACAGTCTTTTAGGATAAATGTTACTGATGTGTGAACTGTGTTTGATTTGACATGCAGTGATATGGACAAGCAGAAGTCCACCCTGGTAGATGCCCTGTGCCGGAAAGGGTGTGCCCTGGCAGACCATGTGCTCCACGCTCAAGTTCACGACGGGGCAGGGGCTGGGGATGCGGAGGCAAAGGAGGAGGACGGCGAGAGCACTTTGGATTCTCTGTCAGAGACATTTTGGGAAACTACAAAATGGACAGATCTTTTTGACAACAAGGTAACCTTCTGCTTGTTGGGGCACAATTCTTAGTGGCCTCTCACAGACTCCTTTTTGTCTGCTTGCCAAGGAGGAAAGGACACCTTGTCAACCCTGTACTCCTGCTTACAATGGTCACCATTATTTTATGTCAGCTAAGGTCTGCTTAATTAACAATAACTTTGGAAGCATTTTCAGAACGTATGTAGTAGCTTATTGGTTAAACCAGATCTTCTATACTTGTTTGTTAAGGGAAGAAGAGCTGATCCTGGTTGGTTCAGATGTTATTTATTCTCCTCAGGACTCTTGATTTCTAATAATCTCAAATTTTAGACAACTGGGTTTGTTTGTTTGTTTGTTGTTTTTCTTTGTCAGTCTTGGGGCTTAAACTCAGGGTCTGGGAGCTGTCTCGAGCTTTTCTACTCAAGGCAAGCACTCTACCACTTCCAGTTTTCTGGTGGCTAATTGGAGCTAAGAGCCTCCAATTAACCCAGGCTGGCTGTGAAATATAGTCCTCAGAATTCAGCCTCCTGAGTAGCTAATAAGTTAGAGGCGTGAGCCAACAGCACCCAGCTTAGCCAACCAGTTTTAAAACCCAGTTTTGCAAAGGCACATCAATGAACTTGGTTTAGAATTTGGCCATTGAAGATGTTTTATCAAAGATATTTTAAATCACTTGCTCATGTCTATACTCCTAGCTACCTACAAAGGAGGTTAAGACGCAAAGGATTGCAATTTGAAGACACCATGGGCAGAAAAGACTCCATGTCTCATACAATCATCAGAAAGCTGGGCTTGAGGGCATGGGTCAAGTTGTAGAGCTCCACCAAAGCAAACAGACCACACAAGCTCAAGGAGACCATTAGTAGGGGAAAAAAGTAGAAGTGGAAAAAAAAAATTTAATCCCTTTAGCTCTGCTATGATTCTCACATTAGAGATTATACAGCCACAGTTTGTTGTTGTTGTTGTTTTGGTGGTGGTGGTCATGGGGCTTGAACTCTGGGCCAGGCACTGTCCCTCAGCTCTTCAGCTCAAGGTTAACACTCTACCACTTGAGCCCACAGCGCCACTTCTGTTTTCTGGTGGTTTATTGGAGTTAAGAGTTTCATGGACTTTGCTGCCTGGGCTGGCTTTGAACTGCGATCCTCAGATCTCAGCCTCCTGAGTAGCTAGGGTTAAAGGCATGAGCCAACCAGCGCCTGGCTTCAGCCGTAGTTTTTTAAATCAGTCTTCCTGTGGAGGTGAAGGAAAACAAAATGAATCACATTCTCCTCACTCAGCACAGACCATTGTTGGAGTAATGAGACCCTAGTTCTCAAGTAGCTATGGTAACTTGCAGCAAAGAGCCCTTAGAATAGGAACCATTCTTTCTGTATACATCAGGTTTCCTCACCTTATAAGAAGATAGTCAGCTGGGTTCCGGTGGCTCATGCCTGTAATCCTAGCTACTCAGGAGGCTGAGATCGGAGGATCGTGGTTCAAAGCCAGCCCAGGCAGGAAAGTCCATGAGACTCTTACCTCCAATAAACCACCAGAAAACTGGAAGTGACACTGTAGATCAAGTGGTAGAGCGCTCGCTTGAGCTGAAGAGCTGAGGGACAGCGCCCAGGCCCAGAGTTCAAGCTGCAGGACCGACAAAAAAAAAAAAAGATACTTAGTTGTTTTGAGGGCTCTTGAGGAGTCAATACTGCACAGAGATTAGGTCACTTGAGTTTGACAGCTGCTTGTACCATTCTTACCTGTAGTTCTAGGGGCAAGCGACTGAACGCTGATGCTTCCACTTACCTGTTGAATGAGGACAGCCTACTTTGGATGCGAGGAGTGACTACTAATTCATGGGGGGCCCAACAAGATGGTAGCTTCCTAACAGTGGAGACCTGAATACTAAACACTGCTAACCACTGGAAGCAAGCACATGAATCATAACTTGGTCCTGTTTTTTAGAAGTGGTATGACAATGGTTGATAAACTTGTCTTGGCGAATCTCAAAATGAGATTGTGACAGATAATTCTATTTTGCAGTAATGCTGCCAGCTTAGAGGCTGTTATATTACTCACCTTTCACTATGTATATGCCAATACTTTGGCTCTGGAAAACAAATTAGTGCTATAGAATTCCTTACTGGAGAACATTCTGCACATTCTAGAGAATAGAAACAAATAAACAATCACGTTTGACAGATGCTACAGACACAAGGCACATGTTTTTGTACTCCAATTTAAAATTTTCATTCTCGTTTACATTGTAGTGATTTTTCATGACTCGCTAAACTTTAGAATTTCTACTCTAGGGGCTGGGAAGATGGCTCAGTGGTAGAGCGCTTGCCTTGCATGCCTGAGGCCCTGGGTTCGATTCCTCAGCACCACATAAGCAAAAAGAAAAAAGCCGGAAGTGGCGCTGTGGCTCATGTGGTAGAGCCCTAGCCTTGAGCTGAAGAGCTGAGGGACAGCGCCCAGGCCCAGAGTTCAGGCCCCTGAACCGGACCCAAAAAAAAAATAATAAAAATAGAATTTCTACTCTAATTTTCCTTTTTTGTTCATTATTTATGTCAACTCTGGTTTATTTTGTCTGAAGTAGTATTTTAGATGGGATTTAAGTGGCTGGTGATTTCTCCTAAGAATAGTTTTCTACTCCCAAATAAATTCTTTCTTCTGTGGAACTACCAGACCTTTGTGAAGACACTCAGTATTCTTTTTAGAAATGTTTAATGTAAAATTCGCCTCAGAAGCTACACTTTGATTAAAGTCTCATTGCTTCCATTATTAAAAGCTATGTGGCTTACCATGTAAATATTTCATAGATAATTTTATCTTGTTTTGTATTACAGGTTTTGACATTTGCATACAAACATGCATTGGTAAATAAAATGTATGGGAGAGGCCTTAAGTTTGCAACTAAACTTGTGGAAGAAAAACCAACAAAAGAAAACTGGAAGAATTGTATTCAAGTAAGTGCCGTTTAAGTCATCTCTGCTGAGAGTCTCCTCAGTGCCACACAGCACGGAGTCTGTCTACCAGGAAGAGTAGGACAGGGTCTGGGCTCATCACAATGCGTTAGGACTTGATTCCAAGTGAGGTGAGCTAGTAGAAATGCGTGGGATGCCATTGTGAGCTCTGCAGCGTTTGAGAACATTGTTCACTCCTGTGTAAGAAACTTACATTAGCTTCGGATGTTTTCAGCAAGGGCAAAATATTTTTTAAGACAGTTTTCCTTTAGGAAAGAAACATCTCCTTAAAAATACACCTTACAAGGTGGCTCAGTGGTAGAGTGCTTGCCTTGCGTGCACGAGGCCCTGGGTTCGATTCCTCAACACCACATAAGCAGACAAAGCCAGAAGTGAAACTATGGCTCAAGTGGTAGAGCATTTACCTTGAGCTGAAGAGCTGAGGGAACAGTGCCCAGGCCCAGACTTCAGGCCCCATGACTGACTCTATATATATGCCTTATCTCAGGGATTTGTAGAATTTATATTTCATTTTGCTCTTAACAGGATAGACCATGTTTAACATGTTTACCACATCTCATATTCAGAGAAATCCTATAGTTGAGCTTTTTGTGTTGATTTTTATAAAAACGTATTTTTACAGAAATTGTCTCATATTGTCTTTGACACATAATTAGTTTCTTCGTTAAAAAAAAAGGAGGGAGAGGAAAAGGGTTGGTGGTGCTAATTACAGCTGAACTTTCTAGTCAAGAGTAGCTACATTTTGTAGTAATACTAAGCTGTGGGTGTGGAAGTGACCATGTGCGGTAGTGCAAGATGTCTGTATGGGCATTGTTCTATTCCCCTGGGGTTGTTTGGCAGTGAGGTTAGTAGGGAAGATAGTGGGTGGGTTGATAGAAGGAAGGTTCTACATACTATTACTTTATTACTACTAAGTGTTTGGCACAGAATTTACCTTGAATAGTGGACTGGGAGGTCTGTGTTCTCCTAACACATTATGTTGTCTCGTAGCTGATGAAGTTGCTAGGCTGGACCCACTGCGCATCTTTCACTGAAAACTGGCTCCCCATCATGTATCCTCCCGACTACTGCGTATTCTAAACCAACAAGACTTCACATTTTAAAAGAAAGTTTTATAGTGAATGGATATAAGAAATTTGTGGCATTTTTAGTCTATTGCATGTTTTCATCCACTCTCCAATGCTGGTCATTAAAATGATGTGTGTTTATCAGAGAATTCACTGGCTTGTGGCTTAATACATGTAAGTCTAGACCTCTGATGTCATGGTGTTTTCATGACACTTCACCCAGCTGGCGAGGGAGGTGTGGCCTGGCTGCCGGCCCCACTGAGGCAGACTGCAGCTTTTTAATGTGCATGAGAGGCTCTCAACGGTTATCTTTCTTTTAACTGCAAACCTGTAAATTTTTATTTTTTATTTTATAAATGAACAGGGTTTTAAAATGCTCGACTTTGATTTTTTTCCCAATTGTATGAAGGCCTTAAAAAGCTACATTAAGCGTAGCTAAAATTATTTATTGGACTGAAAATTAAAACTTCACTTCCAGATTTTTTTTTTTTTGGCTACTCATTTGCATTGTTAAGGGAGAAAAATAAAACCGGCACAAATGGTGGTGCTCAACAGAACATAACTATTTGCTTCGTCTTGGGATTGTGGCAGGCAAGTCTTTTACTTTCTCATCTGAAGTGCACAGCAGAGAATGAATCAGTAATACATGTATAAGTGCCAGACAGCTGAACTTTTATCCGGTATTGTAAAGATGCGCACATGGTATGTTTATTAACGTTGAAATAATGTAAAACACATGAATAAATGTGCAAAACCATGGTCCCAATACACCATATGCACTCTGATACCTTAATTTTTTTTATAAATAATAAAACTGAATATTGAAGCTTTTGCATTTGTTCTTAATTTTTTATAAATCAACTTTGGGGTTGCAACAAAATAATACATTAAATTCATAGACAAATTAGACATGAGGTAATTTATAGTGTTTCTTTTAGGCTTGCAATTATTTGAATATATTTCCAACTCCTATTATATGATTAACTATTGTATATGTTTTACTTTTTATCTTTCTGGTTACTACTCCTGCTTCTTATCCTGCCTTCATGAAATAAATAGAAACAGACAGTATTAAAAAGTGTATGGCCACTTGTCTAATACTCAACTGTGTGTACGTGGTTTTTTCCATCTTTTTTCCTTAGAATTTGATGGAGCAGACCAGTCAGCCAATCTTTTCTAGTCCTAGCTTTGTGTTCCTCTGATGAAAGCAACATGTTTGTGAGAAAGCGCTAGTGTACATAGACAGTTTGGCATCTGCTCTTCCCAGTGGCAGCGTCCCTCGCCCCTCACCCCCCTGTCCATGCGGGTTTGCTTCCTAGAGGAGCCGACAGGCTCCAGTGCATACGGTCTTCCCAGGGCCATGCTGCCAAAATAGTTAACTTTTGGAAACCAGGTCTTGCCTTTCCTTGTAAGCATTACCCTGGGTAACTGGCCGTTGCTTTATCTGCACACTGACACGAATCCTGTCGCTGTAGACCGTTGGCAAAGCTGCGCGTCTGTGCTGTTGAGCTGGGTCACACCTGTGCTGGCTGCAGGATGCTGGGCCTGTGTACGCTAGAGAGTAGATCGAAGTAGTGTGTGACATGACACAAGAAGTGAGAAGGGTGCTTGGAAATCTGTTTCTGCTCCGTGTCGCCGATGCTCACCACACCTGCCGAAAAGAGCTGAAGGAGCCGGGTAGAGGTGCCGGGGTGTGCACACTCAATACCTCTCAACGGTGAGGCGCGGGACCCAGGGTCACGGGTAGGCCTTTTCCATCATGGACTTCTTGCTCCTTGTTAATAGCACCCGCTTGCTGAATTAGCCGCTCTTATCTCAGGAGAGCCCGGTCTGGTCCTTTCAGCCAAGGCAAATCTTAACTCTTCCTTTCTCCCTCTGTCATCCCCTCCCCTGACGAGATGCCCAATGGCTGGGTGACTGGGTGCCCAGCCTGGCCCTGCTGGCATCTAATACTGGCTCAAGCACTGGAAGCCAAACACTCAGCCACCATGCAACTTGTCCAAAACCAGCTGTGTTCCCTTTGCTCTCACTTAAAAATTAGCATTGAATTGAGTCTTGTTCCCACTTTCATTTTCTACATCCAAAGATGTAAGAAACCCACCCGTGGGTCATCCGGGGAGACGTTACCTCTCGATTGGGATTTCTCATTTGTGGAACAAGCAAGCAAGATTGACGGCTGGAGGTGTGACTCAAGTGGCAGAGTGCCTTCGTTTGCAAACATGAGGTCCTGAGTTTAATTCTTCAGACCACCCAAAAAAGAAACCCTGTACACTTTAGGAGTCTGAATATGAGAAACCAAGAAAATCTGCTATTACCATCGCAAAGCATAAAAATGTTGTTGAGTTTTGTCCGCACTGTAAAGACTATCAGTCCTTTTTGCTTCTAAGTGATATTCCATTCATATCATGTGCCACATTTTGTTTATCCAGTTACCCGTTGATAAACCTATTGATTCATCGGAGTATATACTTAGGAACAAAGTTGCTATTTCAGAGCATGCTGCTTCTTAAACCTTGTAAGAACCCTGTTTGTTCCTAAGGGGCTATACTAGGTTTTCCCCATCTGCATCTTTTTTGACTGTTGTAAGTACTTGCGTTACAGAATCTCATGAGTCTTTTTAAGTCAGTTTTTCTTAATACTGACCTTACACATTTATTTCTATTCCTTGAAGTCTTTCTGCCACTTGAATCCATTGAATTGTACTCTTAATGAGTAGTGGGAGACGTTTATCTACAGTTTGGATACAAGCCCTTCTTTGGGTATGTTTTGCAAATCTAACCCCACCCTACAGTGTGGTGTCTTTCCTTCATGATGTCTTTTGAAGAGCAAATTTTAAATTTCATTTCTGAGTTGAACATTTGCTACCTGAGGTATCAGCTGTCATCATCTAATCCCATAGTCACAGATTTCATACTGTTCTAGAAGTTGTATCGTTTTTGTAGCTTTAACTGTTAATGTAAGTGTAGGTGTATGATCTGAGTTTGGGTTTGTACGTTAAATTAGAGAAGTTTAAAAGTTGTGTATGTTTTAAATAGTCTGAGACCACTGGCCTAAAAAAATCATTCTTTGCCTGATTGGGCTGAGTACCTCTGTCACTACTGGTTGGCCACACGTGTGGTTCTATAATATTCTATTCAACGCATGGCTGTCCTATACTATCCTATACCAACTGACTTGACTGAAATTCATTCTGGCAAACCACTGATTTCTAGATGAACTCATCTCCCATACTCGTTCACATGACCAGGAAGCAACTGCAAGTCGAGTTGGGCAGGATGGTTGAGACTCCGCACTCCGCCAGCAAACATCCAGGTACCTACCTCACAGGCACACATTCAACATCCTGTGAGTCCCAGTGAATCCCGGGCCTGGAGCTCCGGCTGCCGGCTAATCCAGGCCATACCTTGTTTCCACAGGCCAGAAATGGTGCCTGCCTTTCTAGAAATGATCGTAAAAGCCAGAAAAAGAAGTCCAAGAATAGTCTACAGAAACAGTTTGCAGCTCCCTAAGCTTACCAAGGTAGTACTATCTGACCCTTGCAACAAAAGTGGCAGAGCCTGGCCTAATACCGTATTGCCTGTGAATAGTACAAGGTTTACTAATCTGTCAAATTTACAAGCTTTATTTCCTTACACTAGCTAAAAATTTTCATAGTCTTGAAATGCTAGATTATTTTAAATTGCCCCTAATACAAAGAAGCTTATTTGAAGTGTGATACTTTATTTTGATTTTTTTATAACAGTCTAGAGAAACAAAATCTTCTTTCCTGGTGTTTCAGGGATTTTAATTGGAAAATTGTTGAAGACAAAAAAGAACAATTCAGCAACTTGAAATTGTCACAGGTAAAAGTTCCTAAGTCAGCATGTACTTCCTCATTCCAGCATCTAGCGGCTTCCAAACTTTGTACTTTTATCAATGTTGTCTATAATTGTCTTCTGACTTGAATTATTCACCCCCTTCTTCAGCTAAAATCTGTGTGTGTAGTTTTTGCAAGATATATTAACCCCATCAAACTCGATGTCAAATAGCATACATGAAACATGGAACACTGGTAGGCTCACCTACTCAGGAAACAGCTGAGAATCACAGTTCAAAGTCAGCCCAGGCAGCAAAGTCCATGAGACTTTGTCTCCAAAATAACCAGCAAAAAGCCAGCTAGAAGTGTAAATTAAGCAGGTTGAGTGCCAGCGAAGCAAGTGAGCTAAAGTTCCATTTATGAGTTTATTCTAGAGCAAGAAGGCATCTCCATGCAACACTTGGAAGCTGGTAAGAGATCTTCCTAATGCAATTTCCAACAGCTCTAAAACACTGGCTTACCAAGGCACATTCTTTTCTTTAGTCCCATTTTAGTATGCCCTGAAACAGTTTGACTGTTGACTCTGGATGTTCAGCCAAGAGAGTTGTATCAAAGACTTGCTTGAATTTGTCTAAGAATTCATAGTCGGTGCTGAATCGGAACTTGTTGGCCCACAGCAGGACGGTGCCCGGCTGGCAGAGGTGCACCATGGTGGCCAGCAGCTTGTCCAGGAAGTAGTGGTGGTAGACCACGTCGGAGGCCAGCACGTAGTCGTAGTAGAAGTCCGACTTGGGCAACTTCTGCTCCAGCTCGTCTCCCCACACCAGTTCTCTCACCTCGGGCACGTGAGCCGTGTGTGCCAGCGTGTTTCGTAAAAGATTGTACTGAAGGTTTCCTAGCACATCAGGCAGATCTGTCGCTGTGACTTGAGCTCCTAAGAGAGGAAGGATCACACAGTTCCATGGGGAGAAACAGGAAAATGGATCTGGCCTCCTCAACCTGGTCCCTGTCTCCATAATGGCGGCACAACATGTGACACAATTCGGGCTCTAACCTTCCCTGGGGGTGGTCCTGTCCTGGCCACTGTTGGATGATTACCTCCCTCCCTAGTCTTCACCCACCTGATCCAGTGGACCCCAACTTCACTCCTCCTCCTCCCCATCCCCCTCAGTTGTGAGGACCAGCAGAAATTCAATCACCTCTGTACACAGCTTCGCCATGTGGAAACTGGTGGATTGGAATGGCTTTGACCCAATGCTCATGATAGCTGCAGAGAACAGTATGACTGCCCACAAGAAATGCTGGGGAGACCGAAGTGTGAGCCCCATTTGCTGTCACTGTCACAGTACAGGTCTTTGGGGACAAGTGCAAAAAAAAAAAAAAAAAAATAGACAAACCTAAAATACTGGCCACAATGGAAACGAGGCCTGGTCCAGCACCAATTTCAAGTACTTTAGCATCTCGGAGCTTCAGTTCTTCTGTGTGTTCCTCTAGATACTGGCACAGAGCCATAGCCTAAAAATCATCAGGGTAACAATTTTCACCTGGGATTGGAATGCTGGCACCTACAGGAGCAAGTCCTTCCCACCTGGAGTTTCAGACTGAGATATTAAATATTGTCACTGTAGCAAAGAGTTCACCAGAACCGAAAGACATTTTGCATCATGCCACACCTCTATGAAAAGTACAATTGTGCCTAGGGAACTGCAGAAACTAATTTGTCCTATGCATTGGTTGACCAATGTCCAAGAAAAAGGGAGGCCTGGGAGGAGGTTACTAGTTGTTGTCAGCTCTTACAAATGGAGGTTACGCATGCGTAACAAATCTCTTCCACTGGTTTTTATTATGGTTTTTATTATTATGACTGGTTTTTATTATTATTTATTATATCAAAATTCAGGTTCATTAGAAGCGTGCTACATCAGGCAATTAAACAGTGGCCTTTGGCAGTCTCCCTTAAGTGATTTGTCTAAGAACCCCTCTAACAGAAGAGTGCTTCTCTGTCTTTAGATAACCAACAAATGTCCTGAATAGCTCGTGAGACTGCCTGTCTATGGGGTGACATCAGTTGGCTGGCCTAGAAATCACACAAGTATGAACATAAATTCATTCATAAAAGAGCTTTTCTCTGTACCTTTGAATTTCTACAGACATTACAGGTCACTGGGTTTGCAATGATTATAACAATGATTGCAATGATTATAATGGAGTATATGAAAGGCTGTAAGGCCTTATTGGGAATCAAAGTGAAATGGAGGCCAGGCACAATGATTCACACCTATAACCTCAGCTACTCAGGAAGGAGGATCGCAGTTCAAGACTGGTCCCTATGCAAGACCCTGTCTCAAAAAAAAAACAATACAGAAAAAAAAATAAAGTCAAGCACACAGACACTCTATTTCTAATGTCTGTTATACACTGCTGGTATTGTCTGTGTGCCAAACCATGAGAGTAGGAAGGTGGGAAGTTGTTTAGTATTTTCAAACTTGTTAAGGAAGAGACAGTTTTGAACAAAGCATACAGGTCATCGGTTATCAGCGCTTCCTGTTTAGGGGGACAGAACCCTAAGACCTGGAGCTGTTGGCCCTGTTTCTCCACCCCACTTGGACCACTCGCCAAGTCCAGGTGGAGAGCCCATGGAGACAGCTGGACAGGCCGCAGTCCTCCAACCTGGCAACCCAGCTCAGGACCTGCGGCCAGACAGTGCTCATCCGCAGACACAGGAAATGGGGTCACAGCGTCTCAACAAGATCTCAGAGTGACTTAGAACAAATAGAAGTTTGCCCTGGAGCTGGAGCAGTGGGGAAAGGGGTGGTGCTGGCCCCGGAATGCTCCGGGAGAATGCTTTACCAAACCAAGAACCATTCTGAGGCCCCAGAGCTCGGCTGAGAGGTGGGAATAATGATATAACTGCAGCTAACGGGGGCTTGAGAGTAATTCAGTTGGCACAGTCAGGAGCTAGACACCACCACTATCCACACAGGCCCTATGGAAACAAAGACAGTGGACGCGGTCATCACCCAGCCAGCAGGCCACAGATAGTAGCCCTAGATCCTCTACTGGACCGTACCACGTCGTGAACGGCTGGTGAGGGTGTGACTGTGGCCCACACATACCTATTGCGAACCCTAAATTCTTTTTTTTCTTTTTCTTTTGGTCAGTCATGGGGCTTTTACTCTGGGCCTGGGCGCTTTCCCTCAGCTCTTCAGCTCAAGGCAAGCACTCTACCACTTGAGCCACAGTGCTACTTCTGGTTTTCTGGTGGTTAATTGGAGATAAGTTTCATGGCCTCTCCTGCCTGGGCTGGCTTTGAATCATGATCCTCAGATCTCAGCCTCCTGAATAGCTAGGATGACAGGCATGAGCCACCAGTGCCTGGCCAGACCCTAAATTCTTAATTCCTGATCTTTTTCTTAATACATGAGCATTGCACCCTGCTTCTCCATATGGTCAGGTTTATTTAACATAATGTTTCAAGAAACAGAGTGGTGGTAGAGGTTTGTCTAGCATGCAAGAGGCCCTGGGCTCCATCTGAGTACTGCCACAAAAAGAAAACAAAACAAAAAGGCACATGCTTAAAGCATGCTTTGAAGAAATGTCAGGTCTCTGCAAAGCCCAAGCGCACAAGGTGAAAGCCCAGGACCAGTTCCCAAGACACCCTGGACAGACTGTGGCTTTTATCTCCACAGAGCCTGACGCCACCACCATGAAGTGTTCTCACCCCGGGCCACACCACGGCTCCATAGCTCTCGATGCATTCCTGCATGACGATCTTCCTCCCAGCAAAGCAATAGTGCTCCTGTGTGTAGCTGGCATAGTTGGTAGGAACGAATTTCTGGAGGCTCTGAAGAGATGGCTCTGTCTTGTTCAAATCTGTGAAGCAGAAAGATAAGATGAAACGCATGATTCATTAATCCCATGCACATATACTGATGGTGCGGTTAGCAAGATAGGGATGAGTTCAACAGTCTTCCAATAAAGGCAGCCATCCACAATGGCAGCAAATTAGCAAACACCCCCCCTCCCTTGAAATAACACAGGGCTCCTGGGGCAGGGAGCTTTGAGGCAGCATTTATGGAATGAGACCCCCTGCCCGAGGACAAATTCGGGCTTGCTTCCTCGGGCCAGGAAAGCCATGAGGAACATCTCCCCCTCTGGGTTTTGTTGGTTTCCTTGTTTGAGACGGGCCATGGCTATGAAGACCAAGCCGGCCTCCAAGTTAGGCTACCCCTGCCTCCGCTTCGCAAGTGCCAGGACTGCAGGTGTGATGCACCACATCCAACTCCTACCCCGTGTTTGGATGCCTGGAGGAAGCAAAATGGCCCAAGAGAGCTTTCTGGAACGAGAAACTAAATAAACGTGGACCCAACTAGTTTTAGGTCTTGAAGTCACAGTTGCACGTGTTGGTTGGAGTATGTTCTGTAAAGGCTCACCACAAATGCCCCTCCAAAGGCACGGGCCACCCGCAGACATGCCCACCCTGCGGTTGTGGGGCAGGTGGCTGTCAGCTGAGCCCTGGGTATTAAGTTTCTATTGCTTTAAATACTGCTTTGACCCCGTGACCACGCTAGGCGCTCTGGGATAGCACACAGCAGCAGGAATCACACATCACCACACGTATTCGCAAGCATTGAAGAATTCCAAGAGCAAAGAGGTGAAATGTCAGGAGGGAGAAAGCTGAGCAGGGCACCCTTGGGTGCTGTGGCTGGCAGGGGAGGAGCTGCTAGCCCCAGCGGGGAGGCCTTCACGGTGGAGCTGGCGAGGGGCTCAGTTCTACCTTCATCGCAGTTGTCTTTGTGGCCCAGGTCGTCTTTGCCCTGGGGTGGAATCTGGAAACACGCTAGATCAGGGGCAGCGAGGGAGAAGGTGAAATGCTACCATCAGCAATGACCACTTGAGGTGGAAGAAGGGAACACCAACACCGTGTCCCCCGGGGAATGGAGTTACAGTCAACAGGGGCCATCCTATGGCGGTTTCAAGTACCCCAAATTCTAGCATCCCCGCTGCCGTCACAACAGGTTCACAGTACAGAAACGCGGCAGGTGCTTTTAAAAACGCTCCTATTGGATGTCTGTTGAGTAAGATCAGAAGGCTTGGGTGTTACCTATTTGTATATGTTTCCATTGCATTTTTCTAGAAACTCATTCTTGTCGAATTTGACAACAGTAAGAGCACACAGCGTGTCAGGAAATGGTCCGTGGCCCATGGGAGTGGAGCGAGTCGTTTCTGAGCTCACAGGATGTGGAGGTTGGTTATTTCACCTTCACGGCCTCCACCATCCACCCCCACCACAGAGCTTTGTTTCACTGAGCTTTAATGGACCCACGAATGCAGGGTCGTTCAGGTGTGAGCAGTGTGTCCTTTAGTTACTTCCTGCTGCCCGGAAGGGGGGTGGAAGGAGGCTACAGGAAAAGGAAGGAGTCCAGGCTGGTCTTGAACTCATGAATCTCCTGCCTCAGCCTCCCACGTGTTGGGATTACAGGTGTGTATTGACACCCCCCATCTCAACATTATTTATAAAGGCTGGCCTACAACTCTTGTTCCATACATTTTTAAAAATTTTTATTGTCAAGGTGATGTACAGAGGGGTTATAGTTACATACATAAGATAGTGAGCTCATTTCTTGTCTAACTTATTAAGCCTCCCTCATTTTTCTCCCACTTCCCCCCCCCCATAAATCTCTTATGTTTTGCACAGATGAAAAAGTTTTAGTTAGTGCACTTCAAATCTTTTAATTGATTTTATCTATGCCAGCCTGGTCATTTTAAAGGTAAAGTAGAGTTGCATTTAAACACACACACACACACACACACACAACAATTCAGTAAAAGTAAAGAACATCCTTATTTAATAGAGTTTGGACTTTTCCACTGTAAATGAATATAAGTGTTTTCTGTAGCTTTGATTACACCTTTGCTATGTCTATTATTTATGTGATTTCTGAATCCATGTCCAGAATTGCAACTTTCAACTCTTACATTGTCCTAAAGGAAGAATGTCATGGTTACAAGGTTCCATTCTAGGAAGAAGCTGGTAGAAATGTACTTTATCAAAAATAAATTCGGATTGCACTTCTCAGGTTTTTGTTTATAATTGCAACATTCTTGCATTTATATAGATAGATACACACACAAGGCACAAGAACTGGGTAAATAAACACACAGGGACACATTCTTAATGCTATGTTGTTGCTTTCATAAAGGCACTTTTCTACTACATTATCAGAAGTAATAGAAAATGGAAATTCTAGTCTCTGACGTTGACTTGAAAACACCATGGCCATGGAAAAAGTGCCTTGAAGAAGGATTTACCTCCTGGGGGTCCCCCGGAGTCACTTTCCTGGAAAGCCCCCACCTCCGGGGCTTCTAACCAGTCGTGGCTCGTGGCTTCTCCCAGGCCCTGGTGCTGAGGCGCAGAGCTGAGACATGCGTCCATTGCTGGAGCCTGCAGAGAGCAAAGAACTGGACAGAACCTCACCCCTGGCCCAGGGCAAGGCTGATCCCGGAATGCTCCAGAGGAGTTAGCTTATCGCCTTAGCATCTGCTGAGCTGAAAAGAACGGCTGCTTGTTGGCTTCCTTCCCTGGCTGGCCAGGCGGTCACCCAAGGAACGGCCATGTGGTTAAGGTGGAGAAAGACCATTCAACATGCGGGCAGCGATGCGCACGGAGCCACAGGAGCAGAGTGTTAGCTGGGCCAGGGACCTGCACCAGGCCGCTCAGGCAGCCACAGCGAGTTTGTGTGAACGGATGGTTTGCATCCATTCACCCCACCTCCAAGTCTGGTCACACCTCACTCGGTTCTGTGTGAAGTGTTATTTCTCCTCATGCTAGGGGGGTTTTGTGACCAACAGGCTGGCACAGACTCTTGGGTTGGCACAGGCTCCTGGCCTGGCACATACTCCAGGCAGCTCTGCTCTCCTCTGAATCTCTGCTGGAAGACAGCAGAATGCTGGCCACAGTTGAGAGCATGACCTGGCCCAGCTCACCACACTTGGCAGTCCTGCTACCCCTTGTGCCCATTTCCTCCCAGGCAAAAGGGCAGAAGAGGCTCTGCCAGCTGCCGGGTGGGTGGTGAGAAATGGAGGAGCAAAGGTGGTTCATAAAGTCCAGCAAAACTCCAGGTTCAGGACAGGAGGGCTGGCTTTGGGGAGCATGTATTGGCATCAAAGCCATACCGTGAGCCAGAGCACTAAGCATGTTCTAGAACACCCAGTGGCATCCTGGAATCATCCTCTCCACCACCCCCAGAATGCACACATGTCCTTGCACACTCTCACACAAGAGGATTCAGACTCCATTCCCAGATTGAATTCTCCTGGGCGTGGTTGGCAGGTGACAGAGCCACGTGTCCCGCTGGGAATTCACCTGTGACCCAGGCTCCTCCACCTTCCACTACCTGATTTCAAACCAGGTTCTCTTGACCTGGTTTGCCAATCCCCCCAAACCAGTCTAAGCATGCTCTGACAGTTCCTGCTTCCATAGGGTATTTTTTTCTGCTCACACATATACTTACTTCTTCCTTCTTTACAGCTTACTTGCAACTCCAAGAAGTTAATGGTTCCACCTTTAAAAAAAAAATAGCAGACTAAGCTGAGCACTGGTGGCTCACGCCTGTAATCCCACCTACTCAGGAGTCTGAGATCTGAGAATTGCAGTTCAAAGCCAGCCCAGGCAGGAAAGTCCGTGAGACTCTTATCTCCAATAAAGCACCAGAAAACCAGAAATGGAGCTGTGGCTCAAAGTGGTAGAGAGTCTGCCTTGAGCAAAAGAGGTCAGGGACAGGGCCCAAGCCCAGAGTTCAAGCCCCATGACTGACTAGCCCCACGACTGGTTACTGCCCAGTTCCTAGAGGGAGACTTCTCCTGAGGAGAAGTCAGCTATAGTGCTGGCTCTGCTTTGTGCAGTGTCTAGAAAATGCGATCTTGGTGGCACAGCGGGAGATGAGAGCGTGCACTGGCCCACCCACAACTGCTGATGGTCCCCTCCAGAGCTGTGGATTTGCCACAGCACACAGAACCCTCCCTCCCTTGCCACCAGAGATGCTCTATATTACACTGAACACATTTCTTTTGCATGCAAAGAAAGGAAGCAATTGAAAAGCAATGTCAAAACCACCAGCTTAGTCTACTCAGTATCTGTGACTCATCTGATAGAACATAAGATCTGTATCACATGCCAGCGTGTAGCCAAGAGCTGCTGCACAGTCTTTCCAAGTGACTCCTCATTAGTGCTCTTCAGTGTCCAGCTGTTAGTTGAATGCTGACTTACCTTACGAAGCAGAAGAGATCACAATTTCAGTGCGTCCTTTCGCCCCTCTGTTTTATATAGGTCTGCACCTGAAAGGATTCACTTGTTGTGAACAAAAGCCAGCCAGTGGAAGTTCAAGTTATTTAGGGTAGCATTACCTGCTAGTACTCAGAGACATATTGCTTTGCTAGAATTTTCCCTCCCTCCCTTCCCCCCTCCCTCCCTCCCTCCCTCTTCTCTCCCTCCCTCCCTCCCTCCCTCTTCTCTCCCTCCCTCCCTCCCTCCCTCTCACACACATACCTGTGTCTGTTACACACACACACACACACACACACACACACACACACACACACACACACAGAGTTCTTGCGACATGAAATGGAATTGCCCATAAAAGATCCAGAAATATCTCTCCAGGAGAACAGAGGCTTCTCCAGCCATATCCAGTTGCTGTGCTGCCATTTGTAATGCAGACTTCGATTTCACATTTAAAGGACTGGGGGGGGGGGGGGGGAATGGTAGCTGGGGTTTTGCACAGGCTTGAACACTTGGTACACCTAGCTCCAGGGGCGGGGCTGCTATCGGCTCTGCCCAGGACCCCTGAATCTACAGAGGGGCAGGAAGGCATTGCCACAAAAGAGGAAATCTGTCTACAAGATGGCAGGGAGATGGGAGGGAGGGGAGGAAAGTAGAAGAAAAATGAGGGAAGGGGTAACAAGTTTGACAAGAAATATACCCTTTTTTTTCCTTGGTTGGTCGTGGGGCTTGAACTCTGGGCCTGGGCACTGTCTTTGAGCTCTTCAGCTCAAGGCGAGCGCTCTATCACTTGCACCACAGCACCACTTCCGGTAGTTCCTTCGAGATAAGAGTCTCACGGACTTTCCTGCCCTGGCTGGCTTTGAACCACAATCCTCAGATCTGAGCCTCCTGAGTAGCTAGGATTACAGGCATGAGCCATTGGTGCCCAGCTAAGAAATGTGTTTGTTACTTTACTTATATGACTGTAACCCCTCTGTACATCACCTTGACAATAAAAAATTAATTGAAATGAGGGCTAGTAGAAGCTGGCACTTACGGTTCACCGCTATAATCCTAGCTACTCAGGAGGCTGAGATGTGAGGATTACAGCTTGAAGCTAGCCCAGGCAGGAAAGGATTCGGATCAGAAAACCAGAAGTGGCGCTATGGCTCAAAGTAGTAGAGCACTAGCCTTGAGCAAAAGAGCTCAGGGTCAGCACCCAGGCCCAAGATCAAGCCCCACAACCACCGCCACCAATAACAACGACAACAATAATAATGATAATCTAAGGGCTCAGTTGAAAGGGAAGAAGGAAAATCTTGTTCATTTATGAAGCTCTTCAACCCTTAAGAAAAAGAACACCAATCCTGTGAAAGATAACCCCAAGCAAATAGGACTCTATCTATCTATCTATCTATCTATCTATCTATCTATCTATCTATCTATCTATCTATCATCTATCTGTCTGTCTGTCTGTCTGCCTGCCTGCCTGTCTGTCTGTCTGTCTATCTATCTATCCGGCCAATTCCTTTAAGGTCAGGATTGTTGGCTAGATGTGCTGTGGGCCCCTACGGGTCGGGTCAGTGCAGGAAGAAACCAGCCTTTTCCCAGCCCCACTGCTCCCATGCTCCCTTCTTCTCAACATGGCCATGTCTGCCACGTCACCTTGCGTTTCTATCACTTTTCCTACCAGGAGCCACATCTCCATAGAAAATAGGGAAAAGAATGCCATTGTTACAATTTGATTTTTTTGTTAAATCCAACTTTTAAAAACTGGTTACAGGGACTGGGAAGGTGGCTCAGTGGTAGAGCGCTTGCCTTGCATGCATGAGGCCCTGGGTTCGATTCCTCAGCACCACATAAGCAAAAAGAAAAAAGGCCAGAAGTGGCTCTGTGGCTCAAGTGGTAGATCGCTAGCTTTGAGCTGAAGAGCTGAGGGACAGCGCCCAGGCCTAGAGTTCAGGTCCCACGACCGGACCCAAAAAATAAAAATAAAGACTACAGCTTCTTAAAAAAAAAAAAAAACTGGTTAGAATCAGGCATAGTGGTGTATGCCTACACCACCAGCTACTCAGGAGGCTGAGAAAGGAGGATCTTAAGCTGCAGGCCAGCATGGGTGATCTAAGAACCCCTGTCTAAAGATAAAAATAAAAACTAAAAAGGACTGGGTGCTGGTAGCTCATACCTGTAATCCCAGCTACTCAGGGGCTGATATCTGAGGATTGCAGTTCAAAGTCAGCATGGGCAAGACAGTCTGGGAAACTCTTATCTACCATTAGCCATTAAAAAGCCAGAAGTGGAGGTGTGGCTCAAGTGGTAAAGTGCTAGCCTTAAGCAAGAAAGGTCTGGGACAGTACCCAGGTCCTGAATTCGAGCCCTAGAACTAGCACCAAAAAGAAAAGAAAAGTACAAGGGCTGGATCAATAGTAGAGTAATTGTCTAGCATGCTCAAAGCCCTGTGTTCTATCTTCAGCACAGCAAAAAAATGATAAACTAAAATCTGGTTGCATTGCTTATGTATTTATACATACATAATATGTAGACAATACACATACATAACATATTATGTATATATGTATAAACTACATACATACTATATAAGTATGATATATAATACAAATATACATTCTAAACATTTTTTAGTGAACCAAACCAAAAGAATAAATTAGCTTGGTGTTTGTGGCTCATGCATGTAATCCTAGCTAATCAGGAGGCTGAAATATGAGGATTGTAGTTCAAAGCCAGACTGGGCAAGAAAGCTCTTAACTTCAATGAACCAACAACAACTTAGAAATGGTGTGGTGGCTCAGAGTGGTAGAGCACTAGTCTTGAGTACCAAAAAAAAGCTCAGGGATAGCATCTAGGCCCTGAGTTCAAGTCCTGGGCCCAGCACCAATAAATAAATGAATAAATCTTCTGTAATCCCACTATCAAAAAACAAGGTAATATTTTTTTTATATAAACATCTAGGTATTTTTAAAATTAAATTTAAAAAACTCTTTTACTGAAAAAAAGAGGCTGGATAGAGACTTGTAGCTCTTCTGAACTTGGTTCAAAAGTCATTTTTCGGAGGGCTGCTATGAGAGCTAAATTTGATCTCTTAAATATGCAGGCGTTGGGATGAGTTAGAGGAGAGGGTCCGAAACTCAGAATTGTGAGCAGTTTTGATCAGAAGTCTCCAGAAGCTGAAATCCTGGAGCACTGGCTTGAGGAGGCACCTAGAAGTTGGGACTCGCTCCTGGCAGGTGCAGTTGCTCTGTAAGACCCTCCTGTGCCGGAGGGGAGAGGGAGGACACGGGACAGGACACAAAGTCGTGTTCAGATCATTCCGGTGGAGGGGTGAGGCAGGCTAATCTGAGGGCGGGCTCCAGAGGGTTTGCTGATGAAGTAAGCTCCCCGAGGTAGGTTTGGACTGGCTAGGAAAGAACTTTCTAACAAGCAGTGGTGGAACAGTTGATCTCAGGAATCCCTGCTTCATGGAAAATGGGAGGGATGTGGAGTGCGGAGGCAGAGCGGCGTCCACCCCGGGCCTCTGGGTTTTCTCCCCCCTGCGTTTGTACGGGGGACCACAGAGGACAACGGACATGGCTGCATCAGATCACGTTCTGGATTTAGCAACAGCAGCTGGCCATCACTCCAAGAGAAAACTTTTTCCCAATAAAGTTCTATTAGGAAAGAATGTGTTTACCTGGTGGAACTATTCTGGGAGGTTCCATAGTGGGGAAACTCCTTCTGTCCTTCTCCCCCTTCTAGGTCAGACTGGATTGGACAGGCCTGTTCTCTCAGGAGGTGGCCCTGACCAGGCTCCAGACAAACAGGCTGAAATCACAACAAAGGGGTGAGAGGCCCATCCTGTCTGGGGGGGGGGGGTTGCGGGGAAGGGGGGTCTGCTCGTCCCCATGTGGCTCTAGCCTAGTGAGCGGGAGAACTCTGTTTCATTCTTCTTTTAGAGACAATACCCTCCAGAAGGTTCTAGAAGAAATGCATCTGGTCGGTTCTTCTGTCTAAGCAGAGGAAACCATTCAGTAAAGCTGCCTCCACAGACATCTGCTCAAGAAACCTGTTCCACAGCCACCGTACCTTATAAAGACAAAAGCTTTTGAGGAAAACCATTAAGATGTCAGGCTCTTGTGAACATACATAATTGAATTGTATCCTGACCAATGGTGTGTGTGTGTGTGTGTGTGTGTGTGTGTGTGTGCGTGTTTGTCTAAGTGTGTGCTGGTGTGTGCACGTATGTCTGTGTCTACGTGCAATCTCCTATTACTGATGTGATTATATGAACATAA